TTGGGTTTGTTTTGTTTAATAATTGGTAGCTGACATTCATGACCCCCCCATATGTTATTCCCAGCTATGTTATCATTCTCGGCTTTACCTGAGCTCATAGGCTGCCGAGGATTGGCACTGTAGTATTTCCGCAGGCTGGATTCCCTGGACATTTTCTGACAATACCTCATTTGGTCCTACTGCCTGGGGCCTATCGGCATCCTTCTTTTTATTAGTACGAGTCCTCCCCTATCTGTTCTGTGTTTGTAAAATCTGACACCTCACATTTTTCCTAGTACCCAGCTAGTATCATCCAAGTTTGTTATATTTATATATAGAACCTTGCAAATTTCTTTATTTCCATGGAAGGTTCCTGTATACCCTATACCATGCCCTCACCACCTGTAACGGGGACCTGCTTGTTGGTTACAACCTTGCGGCCCATATCCCACTTGTAAGAATTTATTCCGACCAGCCCCGAGTGTCCAGTCCGTAGCAATGGTTTCACACCCCCAGTATGCACAATAATACATGTTCGGGTAATTACTGTACCCCTTTCCTGGGTTAGAACTTGGGCAGAAATAAAATCCTGATCGGTTAAAGCATGGCTGCACTGACACCAGGTCACATAATGTGATGCGAAACTGGGAGCACCCGCTGTCGTTGTTTGCTGGATGACGAATTGATCCTTCCATCTGATCAAGCTCCATTTAAAAGGCTGATGGGGATGTGCAGACCCATAGCTGACCAAAACGATGATACTGACTCCCATGTATCGTAGGAGGTGGTCAGAGCCCATCTAAATTGTCGGCCCCTCAGTCCCCCACCGTTTTCACTTCTCTGCCTCGCTTGTCAGTTCGGTTGCAGCGAACTACAAGGTATCGGTTCTTCTTGGCAGCAGCAGTGTTCTTCAGGGGAACCTACTAGGGAGCCTTTGAAACAGGGCCTCCTCCCCTTCCCATGATACACAGATAATAGACAATACTTATCGAGTCCGTCTTAGTGTCAGCTTCAAGTCGTCAGGGCCTGGAGCTGCCTCCCATTTACCTTCCCGGATTGGTCCTTTCACACGGCTGGCATGCGTCCATCCTTTCTCCGCAGTTCGAAGCCGTTTCTGTGGTAAGCAAAACAACATAGGGGCCTTCCCCATCGTGGTGTTAAAGCAGTCTCTTTCCAAGTCTTAATTAGAATTGAGGGTGATCAAGTGGCAATTCCAAGTCATAGGGCATACCATATAGCATTTCAAAAGGAGAAATTCCTACATCAGTTCTGGGCTGTGTCCATATGTTTAACAGTGCAAGGGGTAAGCATTTTACCCAAGAAGCCTTAGTTTCCAGCACAAGTTTTGTTAGTTGTTTCTTAATTTCACCATTCATTCGCTCTACCTTTCCAGAAGAGGAGGGGTGCCAGGGGCTGTGAAAATCCCACTCAATCTCTAAGGCCTGCTTTAATCCTTGCAGTAAAGCTTTACACCCATTCAGTCACGTGGTCAATTAGGACAAACAAGTAACTCAGTAAAGTCTACCTGTATACTTTGGAAAGTCAAAGCCCTGGCTCCCGTCCCCCTCTAGATAGGTTACAGAAGACCTTTTTATTTACCCTTTGACATATAGTAGTACATCCGCTACATGTCTGCTTCCCTAAAGTATATATTCCTACATAGACATGCTTTCTTAGAACAACATCACACATTGCTTGCACCTCCCAATGACTCTTCTGATGTAAAACAGCTAATATTTGCCCCATTATCACTTTATTCAGCATTTCTTTCCCATCAGGGAGTATCATTTCCTTATATCATATTTATATCATATATCATATTCCATCATATTTCCTTAAAATGATCCACATATTTGTAACATTAATACCTCCTTGGGAGGTTGTAATTGCTCCAAAATCTTTTTTAGAATTTACCCAAATAGATAGGTGGCCCTGTAAACCCCTGAGGTAAAATTGTCCACCTATACTGTTGCTTCCGCCCCCATTTCAGGGTCTTTCCAGTCAGAGGTGAATATACGTGTATGTTTGCTCTCAGGGCCAGAGAGCACTCCATTAATAACACTGTTATTCCAGTCTAACAATTTACTAGTTGAATGCCCAATTTAATCATCAAATCCCTTCCCAACAAGTTAGTGTCTGCCTTGGATACATACAATAATTGCCCAGTTATCATTTTATCCCCTAGTCTCAGCTTGGTATCCCCCAAAAGTGACACTGTTATCCCAGTCCCTTCTACCCCCATCACATTTAGGGTTTCATTAGTTAATTTAATCCCTGATACTTTACAAGTAACAGCAGTTGGGAGAGCGAGAAACTCCCCCGCAGACACCAAAGTCAGTGCAGAAGGAGGGGAGGAGGCGCTCCAGGCGCTGGAGCCGAAGCCCCCCTGCGGCCGCTGGAGAGGCCCCTGGTGGAGCAGGCTGTTCCCCCCTCCCCGATGCTTGGGAAACTGAACAAACACCACAGCAAATATGCAAATATACCAAAACTTCTAGACTGTTACTTAGATAATGCCTACATCACCTTTCCCTGCTCATTCAACTTCGAATACCTTTAACACTTTCAACAAACCTTTTAACACTTCCTTTATCTTTCTCTAGCCTTTACTTTTCTAATGCCGACATCAAAGGCTCAGTCAGGGGCCAATTTAATTCCGTACCTTTTCCCTCCAAGATGCTGAAACAACATCAATATACAACATATCATCCTGTTTTCCTTCTTTCCACAAAAACAACATTGACTGTAATATTGTGTTATAAATAATAGTTGCATTTAGGTGCCATTCCGCTTCATCCTCTAGTTTATAAAGTGGCCACCACTGATTACAATATTTGATAAGGGTTCTTTTACTCTCTGTACCCTCTCATCCCACTATATCCCTCCAATGTGTTAGTATACATCCTAGGGGCTTTTCCTCGGGATTTCTTTGCTTTGAACTTTTCCTATTGTAATCTACAGTGGTTAATATTCCACCGTTTTCCTAGAAGCTCTTTACTAGTCAATCCCAATCCCTCCAAAATCCACAATATATAGATACACAAGTAAAATCAGACCACTGTAAATTAACTGCCTGTAGACAATTACACTGGGAACATTTAAACCTGACAAGCCGATAATATGCCTGGGCAAATTTTGTTCCCTTAGACATACACCTCAATGGTAGTTCTTATATTTACATATTTACATATTAACATAGGTATAAAAGAACACTAACAAAAATGCCCGGGCTTTTATATATACAATATACAATGTGCAGTTATTATTCCAGTTAGAATTATTCCTCAGCAGCTGGAAACATTATGCCAGTTTCCATTAAAGCTCGCTTACCCTCCTCCTGTCTTTCTTAAAATCTCGGACGTCCCCGAAGTTAATGGGGACAGCCACATATTCCTAGTCACTATTCCCTGAACGCTAGAGTCAGAGTCGCTCTCAGAGTCTCCCTGGGGTTGCGGATTAGGAAGCCCGGGAGTCTGAGGGGCTGCGGGCGGTGGTGGTGAAATACAGGGAGGCAGTGGGGCTGGGGTCTCTAATTCTCGGTTTTTCTTGTGCCTCCCATCCCCTCCTTTTTCTTTTAGAGGATATAAATTGGCTCAAGTTTCCGAGCTGATCCACAAATGTGCATATTCACTTTCTTCCAAACTAAAAGGTTCCTTTGAGTTTACATAAATATTTAGGGCCTGGCAAACCCAATCTTCAAAGGACCCAAATACGGGCCAGTAAAGGTGGTCTCCTCAAATCTGTTTACCACCCCAAACTTCAACACAATAATGTATCATTTTTACTTTCTTCCTTCCCCACCTAAAAGGGGAATCCTCCCAATTTTTAATCATTAATCCCGGGGTAACCTAACATCAGACGTTACCCCGCCCATGGGGTAACCAGAAGGCTTACTCTTCTTCTGTCCCATCTTCTGGAGCGCCTTCACACACACACACACAAATCGCTTCCCCCTTTTCGTGGCCCAGTCCCTCGCGGGATGTGGGAACCGCACTACCGAGGGGTCCGCACTCGCTTCGTCCGCAATTGGACGTCTCACAACGCTACGCTCCAGGATACCCAACCCCAACCGAATGGATCACCGGCCTATACTTACTCACTCCTGAGCCTTCGTTCGGTCTTCGTGCACAAAGATTACTAGGGGTTGCCGGCTTTATTTGCTTGCTGCCGAATTTAGGGTTCATCGGTGAAGGATTTGAATGAAAGTAGTCCTAGCGAAGGCCGCTGAAATCAGTGGGGCGCCCCCTCCAAAGGTCTTTCAATCAGATTGCCTTCATCCGAGTCATGGCACCAAATTTGTTATAAGTTGCCCCCTTAATTAATTTTCAGAGAGCATTGCATTAATAATAGAAAGGAATTTATTGAGTAAGCAACAGTAAGCAAAACAGCGCTGGGCGGCCGGGGAGTCTCGGCTCCGCCAACGGCGCGCACCTCACCCCCGCCAGGGTCCCTTTTTATATCTTGGTAATTCCGGGATTACGCAGCACATCCTGGTATATTCTGCGACTGCGCGCACTGTTGCTAGGGGGTCGTCTCTGTCCCTCTGGTGGTCGTGAAGATGAAGGCCGTAGTCTTCCTCGGCGTTGTGGTTCAACTTCTTTTTTTTATTTGGTCATGTTGGCCCAGCGTGAGACAGGAAGGCAGGATGTTGATACACTAGGTTAGCAACTTATCAGGAGATGGTTACATGAGCTTTGCAGCAGTGTCTTTAAACAAAAGAGGCAACTGAGATGCAGAAGGAGAGAAGGGGGGGGGGGGGGTTCTCTTTTTTGTTACATTAAGCAAAAGAATTTTCATAGTGTCTAGCCAAGCATTATACAGCTCCTTACTTCAGCAGGGAGTTTTCACAACTCCCGTTCCTCAAACAGAACTCCCTGTTTTTATAATACAAAAGACAATGAACAAACATTTTTTGTGTATTACACTCGGAGGCCACCTCCAGGCTGGAGCTGGTGTCCTGGGTGTCCTGCAGAAGGGCTGCCCCCCTGCTAACCCGGCCTCTCACCCCTTGCAGAGGTCCGAAGCTGAGGGAGCACATCCGCAGGTTTTACACCGAGCAGAAGAGGAACAAGCTGCTGAACTACACGACAGAGGCTATGGTCATTTTCTCACTGATCTGGACTCTCCCGTCCAACAACCATGCTCAGGTTTGTCCAGAGCAGCTTTTGGGAGCATCGCTGTTTATTCTTTCCCGACAGGCTCTTTCCCTTCGAGCAGGCAATTCACATCACACATTTCCAGCACGACACGTACACAACCTGCGGGCAAAACATCTCGCAGGGGGCTGACAAATGCGTCGAGGCACCGCAGCCCAAAATATCCACAGCTTGAGCTCATCTCCTGCAGCCTCCCCAGCCAGGAGAGCCCTGGGCTGTCCTCCTGTCCCCCGGGGCAGAGGGGACAGTTCTGGTGCAGGTCTGCCTGAGCGGTGACCCTGCACTGGGGAAAGCAGCCAGGGAACTGGGCGGCACTGGTGGCAGTGGTTGGGGCAGGTGAGGAAGCTGGTGGGGTTATTTATGGCCCTATTTATGTTTGCTTCCAGCAAGGTGTTTTCAGTGATTATTTTTTCCCCTCTCTTGTCCATTGATTTCAGTCTCAGCTTGCGAAAAAAAATTACTTGAAGGATTTCATTACGCAGAAGATCACTGACTTGGAGAATGACATCCAGAAATGCTTTGCACCAATCGAACAGCCACTCAGGGAAGGCGTAGACGAAGCGAAGAAGTCATACAATAAAACTATCTCCAGTCTCCTCAAGGTGGGTGTCAAGCGGGGTTTTTGCAATCCCATAACTAATTGGTTTGGGAAAAAGCCCCAGAGGTCTGCCTGTGCATGAGGGCTGGTGGCTGCTTGAACCACCAAGGACAGTTTAAAGGACAAAGAGACCTGCTGGGCTGGGTGGCATCAGTGCCCTGGAAGGGGCTGTGCTAGCCCTGGGGGCTAGTAGTGTCCTGGGGGCTGCAGATGTGCGGGGCATGGTTTGCTTTTTCCTTTCTGTTGCCTGGAGCCTGGCTGCAAACAGCAGCACTTGGAAGCACGTTGGATGCTGGTCCTTGGGGGTGCAAGGAACAGGGACATGAGCACAAGCCCTGCTGCAGCATTGCTCGGGGGTGGCGTAGCCAAAAGTTGGCCTCCGGCAAGGGGAAGCCCAAGTCGGCAGCTTGGCAGCTCGGGCAGTGACCTGGAAGTCGTGGAAATGCCCTACCTGGTGAAACGAGCTAAAATATTGCAAAATCTCTGGGTGGGGACTTGGCCAGCTGCCTCCCAGCCAAGCAAAACCACCCAAAAAAAAAATAAACAACCTCCTCTGCCCCAGGGTGGTAGGAAGGAGCTGCCTGGGAAGGAGGCCTCAGCAGCGGCTGCTGGGCCGGTTCGAGGTTCCTTTGGTCCAACGCAGCCCCAGCCTCCAAAAATTTAGCTGGAAACCCCATCCTTCCCTCCCTGCAAGTTTGCTCCTGAGCTGTTTTCGTGGCCTCATGGCCTGTGCCTCCCGTCCCGCAGCGCAGCCACGGGCACCAGGGCTACCACCGCACCCTGAAGGCCGTGTGCCTGAAGAAGGGGGCCTACGCCTCCCGCACCTTCCTCAGGATCGACATCAACGACGCCCTGGCGCAGCCCATCTACAGGAAAATCGACCCCAGCTTTGGGGAGGTGTTCAGGTGAGGTGCCAGGCAGGGCCCCGGGGGTGCAGTGGGGGCCGAGCAGCTCCTTGCTGCTGGGGATTTTGTCTCTCTGCTTCCCACCCACCTCCGCTTTTGGGACCTTTCAACCTCCCCAAGCAGCCTGCTCCCAAAGCCGTGCACTGCGAAACCTCTCCAAATGTCCAACCCCAACGCTCTGCAACATAGGTTGAACCTCCCTTTTTTTGTTTATTATTTTGTTTATGGGAGGCAGTTCAATAGGAAAACAGGGCAGGCTGTGGTGTCAGGACAAGTGCACCGAGCTGCTCCTCACTTACCCTTGATCAGCATCAGTTTTTTCCCCCTTTCTCCCTATTTTTTCCTTGCTTGTTCCTCTCCATCTCTCTCGATCCCTTTCTCTGCCCCAGTCACCTCCCAAACAAATCACTCGCCCCAATGACATTTTTCCCCAGAGATCCCAGTTCTGCTACACGCATATCCAAACTCGATATTTCTGCTATTTTCTCCTGATTCCTTGTCCTTGTCGCAGATACGGGTACCTGGCCATAGCCACCTTGCAGGACTTGCTCGTAACGGGTCCCTCAGGCTCCCTTGTGGTCCCCAGAGGAGTTTGTCCACCCCCCTCAGCCACACGTGTAGCTTCATCTGCTCTCAGACCCTCAGCAGCTTCTCCCCCTCTGTGTATTATGTTGAGCAGTTCCTCCTGCCGTGCCCACGTATCCAAACAGGGTCAGAAAGCAAGCCATCAGAAGGTGAAAAAGCAGCAAAGAGAGCTGAAAGAAAGACAAGTTTTACTCGGTTGTTTCCTTAATGTGACAACCCTGTGCCTCCTGTAGCTGCTGATCTGGAGCAGGGATGTGCCATGGCACCCCGCAACCTCGGCCCGTCTCATGCTGCTGCTGACTTTGGATACCCTGAAGTGGGACCTGAACATCACCCCGAGCACTGTGTCCTGGAGGAGAGCAGATCAGGCACTCCTGCAGGACCACCAGGGGTGGCATTTAGGTGGCATCATCGGTTTATGAGGGAAAACCCATTGCGTGCAGCATTTGTTCTTTGCAAAAAAAAATAACCACATCCTCAGTCTGGACTAGCTAAAGGCGAAGGAAGCATGGAAACCGTGCTGCTGCTTGCTTTGCCTTCCCTGTGGGTCTGTGGCTTGGGATGGACGTCCTGCCCTGCTGGGTGGGGAGGATCCGTCTTTGGCTTTGTCCTTCCCGATGAATTTCCTGCCCGCAGGATCCAGATGAGCACCCGTTCCACACTGAAAATCTGCCTGGATGCCTTCAAAACGCCGTGCAGCAGAAACTGCAGGAAGTTGGGATGCAACTGGTGGCTGACAGCAACCAGCTCCATTTCCTCAAGCAGGAGGTACGCTCACCTCGAAGGGGGCTGTGCGAGCAGGAACGAGTAATGGGAGAAGGAAAGGGTAAAAGCACGGCCTCCGTGGGGCCTGGGGAGGTGATTAGCGACACCCTCATATTTAGGCCATCATTCTGAGATTTTTATTCTGAAGTTGTAGCTGAGTTTTTTGTGACTGAAGCACCGGCGGGCAAACATTTGAACTTACTCCTGCAGACAGACTTCATCGTCGCTGAGGCTGAAAAATTCATCCTGCAGAGGAAAGCAGAAATCTACCAGTCCCTTGCAGCGTCCATTCAAAACGACCTGCTGCTCTGCTATGAAGGTAAGACCAGCCACCTCGTTTTTTTCCTCTTTGTCCCTGGAGGTTTTGATTTTCGTAGAATAACCCCAGTGAGGGCTCAGCAGAAGGGCCCAGGCTTACCACCTACCTGTAGAAAGGCTGCGAAGAAATCTACGGGGCAAAAGGATTATCTGTTATTTGGTCACCAACTCGGGAGATTTCTGAAATCCAAAGTAGATCATGCTCAAATAGAGAAAATTCCTTCCCTGATTTACTCTATTTTCTTTTTGTAAATCATGGATATTTTCTAGCAGTAATCATTCTTATTAGACTGACTGCCTCTGAAGGAAGGAGAGGAAGGATGCTAAAGCAATAAGCTGCTGAATCTGATTTTGGTTTTTCCTTCCTTTCCTATCAGTAGGTGGCACAGTCAGAAAGCGAAACGTTTCAAAACCCCAAATCCAGAAGTTGCTCGCGTTGGCTTTGGGAAGACACCTTAATTCCTGGGGTAGTTATTGTGGAAATGCACTGCTGGGCCAAAGCAGGGAGGTGTCCTGGGGACGGGCCACCCCAACAGAGCTCTCCTCACAGCCAGCTGCTCTTTCTCTGACCTCTGGAAACATTCGTGGGGCACGGGGAAAAAAATACGGAGAGGAAAAATAACGAGCTCCTGTTGGGGAACATCCCTGTTTAATTGGTGCCTGCGAAACATGCAGGAAAATGGGCTTGGGCCAGGAGTCAAAAAAGGGACAAAGTCCTGCCCCTTGTCCCCACCTGTGTCCTCGCTCTGGATCCCCGTGTGACAGTCCCCTCTTTGCCACAGAGGGCCAGGTAAGAGGAGCACAAGCCTTCCAGCGGATGAAAACCATCCTTAGCACTGGGGTGACGAGAGAGGTGGAGAGAGGAATGTTTGAAAGAGCTGAGGAGAGCATGAAAGGGCACCTCCAGGACATGCAGGTACGTTGGGCGCCTTGGGGACCTCCCTCCAGCCATGGTCAGTGCTTGTGGGTAGGGGACAATGGTCCAAAAAGGATCTTGTGAACGCGTGTGATAACGGGAGGGAATTTCCTTGGGAGATGTTGGCTTCAGCAGGTTCTCCGGCATGGTTTTTTGGCAGCAGAGCCGCCTCCAGAAGCACAGAGGTGTTTACACCATTTATCCATTGCACATCACCACTAGGGACCAAGTTGAGCTCGAGGCACCAATGTGTAGACGCTCCTGTACTGGAGGGGCTGCCTGCAGACTTGTAACTGGTCTAGCAGTTACCTGTAACTGGTAACCACCTCACTCCTCTCCCCACATGAACCACAGTTTGGGTGAAGGGGCTTCGAGGAGCTCAAAGCTGCCGCCTCCACTCCCCGGAGCCCATCAGCCCTGGTGGGCTCTCGTGGCTCATTTTACCAGAGAGGCTCTGCTCTGAAAAGCTGTATGGAAATCTCTAACCCCTATAAAAATATCGAGCCCTATCCGAACAGCCATGCTCCATTTCTGGGCTGTTGGCTCATGCTGCGAGCTGGGCTCTCCTTCTTGTGCACCAGCACCCGCAGCAACGAATTGGCTGGATGGAGGTGGGGGGTGGCTGCCCCCGAGCTTTCCCCGTCCCAGGGTCCCCACGGGCACTGGGAGGGACTGGGGGGCTTCAGCCCTGTCCCCTGCTCATGTGCTTGGCTGCCTGGCGCTTGCAGAAGCAGATCCCCAGGAAGCTGGAGGAGGACTTTTCCAGCGCTCTCGGCGTGGTCTTTTGCCCGTGGGACCAGCTGGACGGCAAGCTGCCAGGTATGGCCGCGAGCACGGCTTTGGGGCTGTTCGTGCAGGTCCTGCACTCCTTCCTCCCCGTTTTGGGGGCACGAGAGGGTCCAGATGTCCAGCCCTCTCTAACAGGCTCCTCTGTTTTGCAGACTTGCAGAGAGAATTTTTCACCATCATCAACATTCACAAGGCCCTGCAATCAGCCAAAGTCGCTTAGAGAGCCGCGGGAATTGTCTCCGACGATGTGGTTTTATTATTCACGTTGGTGGCTTGTTCTTGTAATAAATGGCAAAGTCCCAAATAGGGTTACAATCAAAGTTTACAATTTATTAAGGAAATAGAGGTAAGCAAACAGCGCTGGGTGTGCCAGGAGTCTTTGCTCCACCAAGATGCACACCAGTTACATCAAGCAGCTGGTTTTTATGCTCCTAGGCTGATACATATTCATTACTACTTCTAAAAAAAACAGGGTTATTATAATTAGTTTCCAAATCCAAACCCAAAACTGGAGCATGCATATCAGTCTCCGGTGGTCCTCTGGGGGCCTCTGGGGTCTCTCATGCTGAAGGCTCATAGTCTTCCTCCCTCTTGTCCTTCTCCTTTGTCCAACTTGGCTGGATGTCAGAGACTTGTGCAGCGTCCCCTGCAACCTTTGTCTTTTAGTCTTCCTTCAGCTTTCCCCTTCTCCTTAATCTCCTGGGCAGATATCAGAGACTTGCACAGTGTCCCCTGCAACAGTCCCAATAGTTAGCAGTTATTCTGAACCCCTTTGTTCTTATCCCCTATTGACACGAATTGCTGGACCATTCCTTTGCAAGCTACGAGAACTCTACACATTAACCACTCTGTTCTTCTTAGACCTGTGGTTATACAAGGGTATGGAAGACAGAAATCACATTTCATCATACCCCAGCATTGTTCCTCACGGACACGAATCAGATGAACACATTTCACATTCTCTTTACTCCGTGGCTTCATGGGGAATCACCTCTGGTGAATTTTTTTCCTATTATAAAAGCATTTCTGAGATATTTTGTATGCATTGGATGGTGCTATTTAAGTAAGAGACCCGGGCAGTGCCCCTGCCCTGCATGCCGTGCCATGTTCCGTACCCGAGGGGGCTCCAGCTCTGACTCCTCGTGGTGCTGGCAGCCCGGACCATGGAAGTGATGCTCTCCTGGGAGAAGCAGGACCACGGTGCCTGTGTCTGTGCTGAGGTTCTTGAGGTTTCACTGGCTGCTGTGCCTCTGGGCCCCTTCGTGCACGTGGAATACGTGTGTGTGTTTCACTCCGCCACCCGGTGTGCCTACACCCCAAACAAAGCCCGATTGTACCGACGAGGCTTATATCTCTTCTGATATTTTGCTAATACAATAAAAATATTCAGAACAGACTAGTAGATACTTAGTGTGCTCCTACCAAAGCCATGCCTGGGCTAGAAAAGCCATGCCACAGGTTGCCCAGAGAAGGTGTGGGTGCCCCATCCCTGGAGGTGTTCAAGGCCAGGCTGGATGGGGCTTTGGGCAACCCAATCTGGTGGGTGGTGTCCCTGCCCTTAGATGATCGTCGAGGTCCTTTCCATCCCAAGCCATTCTGTGAGAAGCAGCAGGGAGAGCTGGGCTCCTCCGGCTGGAGGCAGAGGTGGCTCTGCCACTACTTCAGGGGGCTCAGAGGAAGGACAGAGCCCTTATCTCCTCTGAGATCTCCAAGGAAGGACCAGGGCTGGCTCCAAACTCCAACCAGAAATAAAAGAAACACTTCCCATGAGAGTCATAGAATCATCAGACTGTAGCCCAGGCTGCCCCCCCCATCCAGCCTGGCCTTGGGCACCCCCAGAGCTGGGGCACCCCCAGCTCCTGGGGCAGCCTGAAACTGGAAGGATTTCCTCCTAATGCCTCACCTGAACCTTCCCTCTCTGAGCTTAAAGCCATCACTCCTCGTCATATCAGACGATTTCCTTCCTCAGCCCCTGTTAACCATGACACATGCTACACACACAAGACAGAAAAAAGCAAAAGACAGACGAAGGCGAGAAGAAAAAATTCCCTGAGTCACAGCAGTCGGTGAGCCATCAAACCCCAGGCACTGTTTGCAGGAAAGCTGCGCCTTGCAGTGGGGTCATGTGTGAACCAGGGCACCCAGAAAGGGAAGGTGCAGAAACTGCCGAGCTCTGCAGGAGGAACAAAGCCAGGATGGGCAGAAAAGGGTAGAAAAAACGTAAAAATGGGGCTGGTTAGCATGTGGTGTGGGGGCAGGACGAAGGGTGACGGCCACAAAATGGAGCCCAGGCAGTTCCGCACCAACAGAAAGATTTTGTTCACGGTGTTAGCAAAGCTTTTCGGAGCATTTAGTAGTGAGGACAGCGTTTTTATGGCGCCGGAGCCTAGGAAAAGCTCACAGGAGATGGAGAGATCTGGATACAAAAGCAAAGACAGGAAAAATCTGTGCAAAAGCCTTTGTGGAAAGCCCTCGCCGGGGGCTTTCTGCTTCTAGCTTTAAGGCCTGGAGGCGGCAGGATGAGGCCACGGGCACTGCTGCACTGTGACACCGGGCTCTGTCATCTGCCAGCCGAGGAGCCCTGGGGCTGCTTGCAGGCTGGGACGGGCCGGGTGAGCCACCCGACTCCAGGAAAAGGAGCAAAAAAAGGCTTCAGGGTACAAGGGTGTGAGCAGGGGGACGGTCACGGAGACGTACCCATGCAGAGAGGAGCCGGGGGCATGAGGAAGCTGGCGGGGGGCCAAAGAGGAAGAGCGTGGTGGGGCAGGACACGTGCAGCAGCTTTCATTTCACCATTTATACGCAGCGGCAGGAGGAAGCCAAAGCATCAAGCTCTGTCTTGTGATTTATTTATTTATTTTTTTTTTTTTTTCTGGGAGAAACGTTAGCTTTCCGATAGCTCTGTAGACGAGCCCGTGGCTGCTTCCTCCCTGCCCAAACACAGCCAGATTTTGGCAGTTTTCCCGGAGCACAGGTGAGAAAAGCTGCCTGCAGTGGGTGCTGGCCGTGTCGCCCCTGGGTGCTGGCCATGCGCGGTGCCAGCTGGAGTTGGTCTCAATTAGCCTGATTGGTGTCGCAATAGTCACGGAGGCAAACGCGGGGGGCGAAGCAGGGGCTGTGGGTTGGTGGGGCACTGGCGGTGAGGGGAGGGATGTGATAAATGACCTTGCTGGGACAGCTGGCTGCCTGCTGCGGGTCGCACATCGGCGGGTTGATGATTAACCTGCCCCAACACTGCAGACGAGCGCGTGGGGTTTCTTCTTCGAAACCCAGGGCGACCTCTGCACAAGCAAATTGATAAGTGCCCCGGCTGGGCACTGCTTTGATTGCTCGCAGCAGGATGCTGTGCCCAGGAACGGCATGGGGGCAGGAGGGTTTGGAGCAGGTCTGGCCAGACAGCAGCCCCGGGCAGCTTTAATCCAGCCCGTTTTTCATTTCTGCATTCTGATGGCAATGAGGCACCTGGGGAGCATCTTTTGGGGTGGTGGCAGTGCTGCAAAGCCCTCGTGCAGAGTGTGAGCAGGTGCTGGGCCAGCCCCAAGCTGCCTTTTTTGCAGGGCAGTGCACATCAAGAAGCGGCACATGCCAGCACCAGCCACTACCCCGGGTAGTGCAGGGGCGTGGGTGGCACGAAGCAGGCTGCAAACTTCAAAACTGTTTCCTTTTTACTTCCCCAAGTAGTCCTTGGAGTACAGAAGCGGTCGTAGCCAGGTCAGCTTCCTCGTGGAAAGCAGGAGCGACGGGGCACTGAGGCAGAGTTTGGCCGAGATTGACATGGCAATGCGTCGTGGTGAGCCGCTGTCCCTGCCTTCCCCTCTGCTCCTGAAGGCTTCTGCTGCCCTTCCCTCCCCAGTCCCAGCAGCTCACACCGACCCGGCTTGCTTTCACTTGCTGAGGGTAAAGATTTCCGTCTTTAGCTAGATGTCAGGGCCCAGGAAGCCGCAGTTTCTCTTTGAAGCGCGTTCCCTGCTCATCACAGGGGAGCAGGGCTGTGCAAAGGCGTCTCCACCCGAACGTAGTTCATTTTGGGGAGCGGTGTGGCAATGCTTCTTGCAAAACCTGAAGCTTGACACTAGAAGAAAAGAAAAAACAAAACTAAAAAACAAACAGCAGGAGTCAGAAACAAACAATAGACACAAAGACGAGTCCCCCAGCTGTAAGCAGGAAGGGCAAATGCCCTCAAGGCTCCCGAAACTGTTCCTGCACAAAAACCGCAAGCTGTTTTCACTCATTTTTACAAACGTAGGGCCAGTTCTGCAGCTTTTCTGGGTAGCGCAAGGTGTAAAGCCTCCTAGCTGCCTGTCGCTGCTGGGGGCAGAGATTCACATCCCTGCTGGGGCTGTGCGGAGAAAGCTGGTTAGGAAAAGATGCCCGAGGGGAAGGATTTGGGTTCCCACGCGCAGACACAACGAGTGAAGATCTCCTCTGGCCAGCAGCATTGGTGACCCCGGGACACAGAGTTTTGGCAGCTGCTCGCCCTGGCAGGGATGTCTGAAGCAGGGGAGGTGGTCACCGCCCAGATTTTAGGGTTTGGGTTTGTTCGGGTAATGATCGGGTGGCCAAACCTGCAGCTGGGTGATCCGACCTTCACCCTCATGCGCCACAGCACCTCGAATTCAGGCTGCGAGGGCTGATTCCTCTCGGTGTCAGGAATAGGTGAGGCTGCTTGCTCTGAGGCTTTGACACCTGGGGAGGCTGCGGTGCTAATAATGCTGATGTCCTTTCCCTGTGAAAAGGTGCAGAGAACGATGCAGCTGAGGTCCCCCAGAGGCGACCGCGACTGCCGGATGCTTTCCAGCAGGAGGAAAGGGAGACGCTCAGGAAATGTGAGTAGGGGAAGCCACCTGCCTGGTGGCACCAGAGCCATGCCTAAAACGCAGCGAGGTCTGCAGAGGGACCTGTGGTGGAAGGAGAGGCACGAGCAGGCTGCAGCTGCTCTGAGCATTGCCACGGAGGACCCACTCCCCAGACTCCCCAGGAGCAACCTCGGTGCTGCCCAAGGAGCCAGAGCACCCCAAAATGCTCCCCTCTGCCAGCAGCAACTCCTTCTCGTTGCTTGGCACTGGGCACCTTCCCCATCCAACTGTGTTTGGTAGAAATAACGGGCATTTTGTAAATCACCCCAGCTCCCAGGGGTGCCAGCCTCCGCCTGAGGCTCACCGTGGGCTGCTGGGGCTGCTTCCTTTGGAGACCTCCTCCTACAGCCTGACCGTGCGCCGCCTCTCCCTTCCAGACGAGAAGATGGAGGAGAGGGTCAGAAAAATTCTGACCGCCTCGTGCGAGAAGATATCCCACCTCTTTCATCTGAAGGACATGCCCGAGCACCTGGCTTATCTCCGGTGAGTGTGCGGCCAGAGAGACCCCCGCCAGCCTGGCTTTCCCCTGGGCAACGTGCCCCGTCCGTCCCCCCAGGCTCCGCCATGCTCCGGGGCTTTGGTGGGCACCAGAAAATTCAAACTGGGAATTGCCACCAAAGCTAGAGGGTGGAAGCTGGTTTTGCTGCGACAGCTTCCTGCTGTAAGGAGGATTCATCCTTTTTTTTTTTTGCTGGCAGCCCATGGAGGGGTCAGGGAGGCGTTAGGGCTGAGCTCCAGAGCTGCTCCCACTTCGGCACGGGCTCGCCAGGGCTTGGGGCAGGCAAATGAGAGACGGTGGAGAGAGAGCACGGTCTGTGCTTTGGGAACAAGCCCTTTGGCTGGAGATAATGCACCTGGCAAGGCAAAAAGTCCCCTGGAATTTGAACCCGCTGCGGTGGAATCCGCCTGCGTCAGGCTGGCGGGCGGTCACCAGTGGGGTCCCTCAAGGCTCCATTTTAGGGCCGGTACTTTTCAATATTTTTATAAACGATCTGGATGTAGGAATAGAAGGTATTTTGAGCAAGTTTGCTGATGACACCAAACTTGGAGGAGTTGTGGACTCTGTTGAGGGTGGAAAGGCCTTTCAGAGGGATCTGGATAGGTTGGAGAGCTGGGCGATCGCCAACCGCATGAAGTTCAATAAGAGCAAGTGCCGGGTCCTGCACCTGGGACGGGGAAACCCTGGCTGCACGTACAGACTGGGCGATGAGACGCTGGAGAGCAGCCTAGAAGAGAGGGATCTGGGGGTTGTGGTAGACAACAAGTTGAATATGAGCCAGCAGTGTGCCCTGGCAGCCAGGAGGGCCAACCGTGTCCTGGGGTGCATCAAGCACGGCATCGCTAGTAGGTCAAGGGAGGTGATTGTCCCGCTCTACTCTGCTCTGGTGCGGCCCCACCTCGAGTACTGTGTGCAGTTCTGGGCACCACAGTATAAAAAGGACATGAAACTGCTGGAGAGTGTCCAGAGGAGGGCTACGAAGATGGTGAAAGGCCTGGAGGGGAAGACGTACGAGGAACGGCTGAGGGCACTGGGCCTGTTCAGCCTTGAAAGAGGAGGCTGAGGGGAGACCTCATCGCAGTCTACAACTTCCTCGTAAGGGGGCGTCGAGAGGCAGGAGACCTTTTCTCCATTAACACCAGTGACAGGACCCGCGGGAACGGGGTTAAGCTGAGGCAGGGGAAATTTAGGCTTGACATAAGGAGGGGGTTCTTCACAGAGAGGGTGGTTGCACACTGGAACAGGCTCCCCAGGGAAGTGGTCACTGCACCGAGCCTGTCTGAATTTAAGAAGAGATTGGACTGTGCACTTAGTCACATGGTCTGAGCTTTTGGGTAGACCTGTGCAGTGTCAAGAGTTGGACTTGATGATCCTTAAGGGTCCCTTCCAACTCAGGATATTCTATGATTCTATGATTCTACCTCTGTTCTCCCAGGGACCGCATCACGACCCTCAGCTCCAAGCTTAACTTCGAGCCCATCTACATCGGGCTCTTCGGGAGCAGCGGCGCGGGGAAGAGCACCCTGCTCAACACCATCCTCCACAAGCGCTTCTTCCTCCCGGTGTCAGGGACACGCGCCTGCACCTCCTGCCAGGTTCAGATCAGCACCTGCGGCAGCAGAGAGTACAGAGCCAAGATTTTTCTCCTCTCCAACGAGGTACGGCTGGGGCCCTGCTGTGGAAGGGAGCCAAGGAGCAGCTCCTGCCCCTTCTCGGGGCAGCCTGTGGATCGGGTGGGTCTGCAGGAGGCTCCTGAAGCCCATTTTATGGGCCGTCTGGAGAAACCCAAGGGAAGACCAGGGAAAACAGCAGCTTTCTCCTCTCTGCTCCTTCCCGGAGTGAAGGTCTCTGGCCGCTCTTGTGGTTGGGAGCCCTCGTGCTGCTGCTTCCCACTGCTCACCACAGCTGCAGCTGCTCCTGCCCCAGCGAGCTGCTGAGCAACGTGCTCCTCTCTCCACCATGGCAGGAGTGGATGGACGAGGTGAGGAGCCTGCTGGCATTCCTGGAGACGGACAGGGAGGCTGATGAGAATGACAGCGACAAAGATCACGCCGTTCGAGCGCTGCAGGCTGTCTACGGGGAAGGAGCGGAGAACAGGACTTACGATGAGCTGGTGAAAGCCAAGCCTGCCATCACTATTCCCCACTCCAGAGTTATTGATCTGAAAACGGCAGAGGTGAGAACGTGGCAGCTCTCCAGGGCTGCCCATCCTCTTCCCGCTGCAGCTGCAGCCACGGCGCTGCACAAACCTCCTGGGAAGCACGCAGAGCTTTGTCCCGGTGCTGGGGCCATTGCTTGCAGAGGAAAGTGGTTGCTTGCACACATCTGCTCGCAGCTTCTCTGCCAGGCATCGCTTGCGGCTGTGCCATCTGCTGGGGCATCGTGGTCGGCGTGTTTATTTGCCACGGTGCTTCTCCGTGCACACGCGACATTTCATTGCCGGTGTGCCCCTTGCGCAGCTTCTTGCGCTGTTTTGGTTGGCGGTTTGCTCTTTTCAGGCTGCTTGGAGGCTTTATTTCTGTAGAGAGTCATGGACTCACCCAGGTCGGAAGAGACCTTCAAGGTCACCAAGTCCAACCTGAGCTACCGAGTGCCATCAGCGAGCCCTGTCCCTTAGTGCCACGTCCGTGCACCTCTTAAAGACCTCCAGGGACACGGACTCCACCACACTCTCTGCGAAGAAATTCTGCCTCGTATCCTAATCTGAACCTCTCCTGGCAGAACTGGAGACCGTGAATTGGAGGGTGAGCGTTAATTTGCTTATGGTGTTCCAGGCAGAAGTTCTCTCCCAGGAACTGGACCCGTACATCCGCAACCTGGAGGGCAACGAGGGGCCTGGGGAGGGGGGTGCCGCCCTCCACAAGGAGCAGACGCGGCTCTGGCCCCTCATCAAGTACGTGCAAGTGACTCTTCCCGCGTCCGACTTCGTGCCTGAAGGGGTCATCTTTGTGGACATCCCGGGGACGGGCGATTCCAACAAGAAGAGGGATGAAATGTGGAAAGAGGTGACTGGCAGGTGGGACCAGTGCAGGGGCAGGTGGAGAGGCTGCAAAAAGAGCAGGGGCTGGCGGCAAGGGAAAGAAGCCACAACCGAGCCCGTAGGGGCTGCCACCACCATCTGTGTGCCAGTGCACGGGCACTGATGCAGCACCTTCAGGCCTCAGCTCCTGGTTCGGTGTCCTCGGTGCTGCTGTGCCCCACCTGACTCTTCTCCTCTCCTCTCTTTCCCCCAGAGCATCCTGCAGTGCACATCCATTTGGGTCATCGCTGATGTTGAACGCGTTGATGGGGCCAGAGCACATGAAAACATGCTGAAAGAGGCGATTACAGCTTGCATGATTGGCAAGTGCAGCGATATCACCTTTGTGGTCACCAAGATGGATAAGATCAGCCGGGAGGAGTACATGCGGTAAAGAACAGCTCTGTCCTTTCGTCAGGGTTGCAGGGAAGCCTTCGTGCCTCCATCAGAGCAGGCTGGATGCCATTCACCCATGGCACTGCCAGGTCTCATTCATAGCGTGCCCTGCCCACCCTGCATATGGAAAATGGCATTCCACGTAACAAATCATTCCCACTGATATTTTTGTTGTTTCTCCTATGCGTTCAAGAGCCTTAGCACTCAGCCCTCTTTACAGCATAACCCCATCACCACGCCTGCCTTTCCCAGGCTGACTTTGCCCCTTTGCTCTTCTGCCTCAGCTCCACGCTCGGTGCTGCCCCATCCCCTGTGCCTTTATTGCTGTCTTTCTGATTGAGGCAGGTCATCCGCTTCCTTTGGCATTTGTGCTGATGTCCCCCTGCCCAAAGGACTTGGGGATTTGCCCCAAGGAGGAACAAGCTTTAGGGTTCAGCTTTGCCATATCTACTTAAAGTCTTTTTTTCTTTTCTTCTTTCATTTCAGTGACCATCCCAATGCACCGGTAAGTACCTGCTGGCTGCTTTCAGTGGCCAAAAAACAAATTCCTTTTCTGATTGCATATTGTGACTGGTGGGGCCAGTGCATAGACTCCACCAGCATCCTGCAGGCTTGCTAGCAGCTTTGCCTCCGTGCAGGTGAAGCTTGGTGGTTTTGGGAATATTCTCATAACACTCTCTATCATTTGCCTTCCAGAAGGATCTAAGCACGCACGATGCCATTTTGGAGACAAAAAAAGACCTGAAAACAAGAAAGAAGAGAGCAATAAGGCACAAGATGGAGGTATGGTATACCTTGTTATTTTGGTGACAAATGCATGTTACAGTGCTAATGCTTATGCACGTGCCTTTTCCCACAAAATATATTTGCTTCCTTTTCTTTCCATTTGCCATGAAAAAAATAAATGGCAACATCTAACTTTCCCACCTAGGTAACATCTTGTGACGAGGTTTATCAAATTAGTGGGCACCTGGAAGAGAGGTGCTGGCCTGTGGCAGCTGCACCAGTGATCTCCTACATGTTGTTATAAGCCCTTCTGTCACTGAGTAGCTTTAAATGCAGGTGTGGGCTGCGTGTCACCTCCTCCCTGCCCAATCTGTCCGTGGCTGTGGCTGGCACCAGCACCCTTGCTCTTGGTTGCACCGGTACAAATACAGCGAGGTGTGAGGCAATTCCATGGGCTCCTGCATCAGGGTTTGTCTGCAGGAGAAGGCTGGCCCGTGACAGCACAACAGCCTTTAAAACATCGCTCAGCAAGGCCTTTGACACAGTCTCCCACAGTGTTCTCCTGGAGAAGGTGGCAGCCCATGGCTTGGACACTCTCTGTGCTGGGATAAAAAGAGGCTGGATGGCCAGGCCCAGAGAGCGGTGCTGAACGGACTGAAATCCAGCTGGCGGCTGGTCACGAGTGGTGTTCCTCAGGGGGCCCATCCTCTTTAACGTCTTTATTGATGATTTGGACGAGGGAATTGAATGCATCCTCACTAAGTCTGCAGATGACACCAAGCTGGGGGGAGGCGTCAATCTGCCGGAGGGTCGGAAGGCCCTGCAGAGGGACCTGGACAGGATGGATCGATGGGCAGAGGCCAAGGGGATGAGGTTCAACATGGCTCAGTGCCAGGTCCTGCACTTTGGCCACAACCACCCCATGCAGTGCTAGGCCTGGGGGCAGAGTGGCTGGAAAGCCATGCGGAGGAAAAGGATCTGGGGGTGTTGGTCGATGCTCACTTGAACACGAGCCAGCAGTGTGCCCAGGGGGCCAAGAAGGCCAAGGGCATCCTGGTTGTGTCAGGAGCAGTGCAGCCAGCAGGAACAGGGCGGTGATCGTCCCCCTGGGCTCTGCTCTGGGGAGGCCAAACCTCGAGTGCTGGGTTCAGCTTTGGGCCCCTCACTACCAGAAGGACATCGAGGCCCTGGAGCGTGGCCAGAGCAGGGCTACGAAGCTGGGGAAGGGCCTGGAGCACAAGGCCTGTGAGGGGCGGCTGAGGGAACTGGGGTGTTTGGTCTGGAGAAGAGGCCGACCCCCAGCTCCCCACACCTTCCTTTCAGGTAGCAGCAGAGAGCAAGGAGCTCTGCCCTGAGCCTCCTCTGCTCCAGACTATCACTAGTGATAGGAGCAGAGGGAATGGCCTCGAGTTGCCCCAGGGGAGGTTCAGGCTGGAAATGAGGAGACATTTCTGCTCAGAAAGAGCAGCCAGGCCTTGGGACGGGTTGCCCAGGGAGGTGGTGGAGTCCCCGTCCCTGGGGGTGTTCGAGGAGAGGTTGGATGTGGAGCTGAAGGCACAGGGCCCTGCGCTGCTTCAGGCAGCTGTTGCACGCTCACGTTGCACGCTCGTGTGTTTCAGATGAGACTGCCCAGCGACACAGAGGTGGTGGAGAAGGCGGACCTGGTGTTCACCGTCAGTGCCAAGGAGTACTGGAACCCCACGGTCCTCACGATCGAGGAGACAGGTGAAGGGTTGGCCGTGTGCCTGCTGCAAGCCCTGCTGCCTGTGCACCCATTCCCATTTGTGGAGGGAAAGCAATAAAGGTCGCCTTCGTCTTCTCTTTCAGAAATCTCCATGCTAAGGGACCAAATCAGGAAGCTCTGCCTGAACGTGAGGAGAAATCAGCTGCAAGAGCGCATGCGGGAGATCCTTGTCATCTTCTCCCTGGTGGACGTTTTCCACACCATGCAGCTGAACCCGGTACGTGTGGCTGCAGCCCCTGCACGCTGCCACCATCCCGTACCTTCTGGGGCTGTGGGGCCGGGTAGCCAGCCTCATCCTTCTCAGGAAACAAATGCAGAGCTGCTCTTGCTATCCTGAAGTGACCTAAGCAGGGCTTTGCTGCCCGCATGGAGGAATTCAGCAGTGCCAGGAGGAGAGGAGCATCCCTGGAGCATGAAAGGCCCTTTTTGCCTGGTTCACCCAGCTGTGAAGCTGCACCAAGGCCAAGGCCTGCATCCAAACCCATTTTCTGATTAGCCACTTGGCTCTCTTTGGAGAGGATGAAAAAGCAAGCAAGCTGCAGAGGCTGAGCAAGCTTTGCCAGCCCTGTAGCCCCATTACCTGCTATCACCTCATCTTCCTCATCGTCTTGGCCCTCTCACGTGGTGCCAGTGAGAGGCAGGCTCTAGCTTCCCCCTCTGTGATCTTGGCTTAAATTTGAGCTGCTCAGGATGCTCCAGGGACAGTTCTGGAGTGTGCTGCCTTGCACTCAGCAGCCTTGTCAAGGTATGTGCCGTCCCACTTTTCCAGGGTCCAGCCCCGCATCAGGACAGGCTCAACGCGTTTGTGTCAACGAAGATCCAGAAGCTGGAGAAGACGGCTCAGGACATTTTTAAAGAGATGGATTTGCTTCTTACCAATGGGGTGAAGTCTGCCCAAAATTCACACAGGAAGAAAATTGAAAATATCTTTGCGGTGAGTGGCGCAGGTCTGCTCCACGCTCTGAGGCTGGGTAAGATTATTTCATTTTCTGTCTTGCAATCGCCATCAACATCAGCTGAGTTTCACTCATTAATCACTGACAGGTGCTTTGAGGTCTGTGGGTAAGAGACAGGGTAAGTTCTTGCTGCTGCTCAGTGTTACTTTAGCTTAGAAAGGAGAACTTGATTCTAGGGAAATAACAAACAAACAAACAAAAACCACCACAGATGTGTTGTGTTAAGGAGATGCTGTGCCTAACGCAGGTGGAGAAACGCCTGCCCACGTTGCTCCGTGCCATCAGGACTGGCCAAGTCTTGGGAAGTGCACTGTGTAGGGACAGTGGTGAGCCGGCCATGCCACGGGCCAGCTCCCCAGAGCCCACCGGGTCCTCCTGCCAAGCAGCAAGTCCTTCTAGGACTGGTTCCTCAGCAGGACTCCTGGACAGAGTCAGACTATTACAATTCCGGGACCAGGTCCCAGGAAGCACGTCATGCCCCTACAGCTGCACGCTCATCCTGCAGAGACCTTTTTTCCTTGATAGAGGGGGGACACCAAGTGATGGTGTGTTTCTAAACAGTTGAAATGAGTGTCTTCCAGGCTTAGACCCCAACCCAGCTTTGCCGTCTTTAGAGCTATCCACCCTGAGCGAACACAGGCACGTTGCAGGAGGCACCAAAGGCTAAAAGATGACATCGTTTAATTCCTGCTTTTCTCTCACTGTGACATTTGCTACCGGTAGCTTAAGCAGCTCTGAAATGACACGTGAAGGACTTGGTCCTGGGAGCAGCACTGCTGCTGCTGGCTCTGCTCACACTTGCTGCATTCTTCCTCCTGCAGATAGGCGAGAAGTCCAAAGGCTTCTACAGGACCCTGAAAGCTGTGTGCAGGAGGAACGGGGTGTACGTGTCCCGCGTCTTCCACCGCATAAACATCAACAGAAGCCTGGCTGAGCCCATCTACGCAGCAATTGAAATGACGTTTGCAAACATATTCAGGTGAGAGCGGTGGGCAAGCAGGAACCAAGCCACATTTTCTTGGAAACTCCAAGAAAAGAGTTCTCCTACACAACTACAAACTCCTACAAAAGAGTTCTCCGCCATCTGCAGGCAACCTCGTCTGGAAAGCACTCGGGTCTTTATCTCTTCCTCCCTCAAAAAGCTAAGTTAGCATTACACTGACTACTCACGGAGGCAAACTAAGCATGCCCAACTGCAGTTCATTTACTTAGGCAAAGCTTCTAATTGACTAACCTGTCTCAGCAACTTCCACATCTCTCTCCCAGTCGCGACTGATCTCCTACTGATCTTGGGCAGACCTGTGTGGAGCCAGGAGCGGGACTCGATGACCCTTGGAGGTCCCTTCCAAGTGGGGATATTCTGTGATTCCCCACAGCCCCATGTGGTACTGATGTACCCCATTAACAGTTCAATAGAGAAATTAAGTGGCATTTGCAGCTCCATCCCTTTCTGCCCCGTGTTTCACAGGGGTTCAGGCATAATAAAAAAAGGAAATGAATACCTTGCTATTTCCCAGTCCCCAGAGAAGAGGGAGCCAGCCAGATAGCCCAGGTAGCGAGGACATCCCTGCGCTGGAGTTGGAAGCCTTGTGTCTTCTGATAAGAGAAGCTCACCTTGGCTGGCAACGTGCAGAGAATAAGTGAGGCGGGGGAAGCCCATGGGTCTAACAGTTTTGGGGTCTCACCCACACAGAAAACAGATGCTCACGAGGAAGAGTCTGCAGGCTGCCATCAATGGGTTCAGCACGGTGGTAAAAGGCGAATTCATGGTGTTTGCGAGGGACACGAATATGAATGAGTCCAAGCTCCAATTCCTCTTACAAGAGGTGAGTGTGAAACAGGGAAAACCCAATGAGATATCCCTGTGTAGCTGGCCCAGCCCTGGGAGTGGGCGCCAGCCCCTTGGCAGGAGCTCGGGGGGTACAGCACGCGGAAAAGTCTGACGTGCATCGTGTCAGCAGCTTTGGCTGGGGGTCTGGTGCAACCCCTGATGACCAGTAGCTGCTATTCAGCGTCGGGGGCAGCAGGATTGTTTTTAATGCTGAGCCACAGGCAGGTCGCACTTGGTTCTTGGGGTATCATTAGATGGTTCGGTGGATGCTCTGCTAGAAGCTCGTAAAGGAGAACTCCAGGTGACCAGACGCAACGGATCTGGTCCGTGTAAGGGTTGGGGCGAGCCCTGGTGTGCTCCACCTACTCCCCACCTCGGAGCATTTCTTTGTTCTGCTGGTGAACGGGGGGTTGGAGGTGCTGGGAAATGCTCTGCCCTGATTCCTGCAGACCGACATCATCATGAGAGCTCTCGAAAGAGAAATCCTTCTGAAAAAGAAGGCCATCTATGAGTCGCTTGAGCTGTCCATCCAAAGCACCTTAACGCCGTATTACCAAGGTAAGGCTGCTTTTCCAGCTAATTGTGTAGCTGACGCTGTGAGTTGGATGCCTGGTCCTGGGGCACATTCTCCCAGCTTGTGTGTGGAGTCCGCAGAAGGCTTTGTTCTCACTGGCTGAAGGAGGCTGAGTAAATTTGTGCCTTCGAGTCCAGCAGGTCACAGTCTTCTTAACCAGGGAAGAAAACATTGGAGTTGCAAAGCCTCCTGCATAAATTCCTTGTAATTTTGATGCCATTGCTGCCTCCCGTGATGGGACCCACCACACTTCTTGTGGCTCAAACGAAGGCTGTTCCTCCCTGGGAAGGAGATAGCACCTGGGGCTGGGGAGGGGAGACCTTGCCAGAGGGTACTGGAGGGGAACTCCACCTGGGTCTGGGCAAGGCCTGGAGGGCTGTGGAAGGAGGCAGTTTGAAGGTTTTGCTGTTGGCTAAAGGAATTCTTTAGGATGGCAAAAGTCGCCTGGGAAGAGGACTGGGAGGTAGAAGTCTGCCAGCAGCAGGTTCGTGGGCAGCACGGCCTCAACGTGAGCTTTGCACCCAAAGACCACCCCAGCTCATCTGCCCACGCCTGCTGCGGGCTCCTGACAGCAGTCTGATGTTTCCCACCTCTGCCCAACAGAGGCTGAGAAGATAAGTGGGAAGGACACGTACAAGCAGATCAAAAGCATACTGACAAAGAGCATCGAGGTGGAGGTACAGCAGGAGATGTTCAAGAAAGCGAAGGAAAGGATGATGAGCCAGTTCCGGGAGCTGACGGTGAGTCACACTGCAAAAATTGCTGCTGGAACTGCAAAAACTGTTGTTGGAGATCCAAGGCTGGGTGAGCAGAAACTGTGACAGGCAGCTAAAGGCTGGACGAGGCGCTGCCCCCCTCCACGCAGACCGGTGGTCGCTGCAGAGCGCTTGTGATGCTCCGGGGGATTTTATGGATCCTGCGGGATGTTGTGACGGTTTGAGGCGAGATGCAGGTTGTTCTGCAACGTCACCAGTGTGAGAGCTGTCAGAAATTCTGGTGAGAAAATCTTTATCAACTTCAGCTGCCTGGACTTGCTCCAGCCTGACCTTTGCAGTGGCTCAGCGTAGTACTTCAAGTCTCTGTCCCGAGAAAGAAACAAAACAAAACAGAAACAAAAACAAAACAAAACAAAACAAAAACAAAACAAAAAAATAAACATCAAGCTGGAGTTTGGTTTGGCTTCATTTCCCTGGTTATCCCCAGAACCAGCTTTGGTCTCTTAGTAAACAAAAAATTGAGTTTTTTAGGTGGGGATTTCCTACTTCGGTCCCTGCGTCTCCCGATTTCTGACTTCCTATGAACTCTCCTCTACCTCATCCCAGGCCACTCAGACTCATTCCCGTGGGTTGAAACCCGACGGATTCGAACCGCGGTCACGCACAGCATGATTCATCACAGTTATCTGAGGGAATTTCCTTTCTGCTGGCCAAGGATCTGGCACGCTGGTTGAGCAGAGGCAATGGGCACCTAGGGGGGGTGCGGGCTCCCCTCACCGACTCCTCAGCTGCTTGGGGTATTGCAGGTCAGGTTCTTGCTTCCCCAGCAAGATTTTTGGGAATGCCAGTGCCAAAGCTGCCATCACTGGCGTCACAGCCTTGGCTATCCCAGCAGATCCCAGTGCACCCCCGGAGCTCAAGGGCTTCAGAGTGCAGTGCTGCAGCAGACTTTGTGTAAGGAGGCCTCCAGCGCAGCTTCTCCTCCGCAAATGACATCAGAGTGATGCTGTCGCCCTCTCTGATTGCAGGAGCAGATGAGCACAAAGCTCAGCAAGGATTTCCTCGGCATGCTCAGCGTCATCTTCAGCCAGTGTGACACACCGGTCAGCGTGCTGCCAGGTACGGGCTGAGCTCTCCTCTCCGGGGCGTGTGTGGTGGGTGGGTGGGAGAGGGCTTGGGGGCAGATTTGGGGATCTGTGTGTCCTAAAACAGCTGGGGTCTGCAGGTCCTGAGCGTACTTGCATGTTTGCATTCATTGGTACTTAATCATATTATCATTTTATTCCCATTCTGGAAAAAAACAAAAAGGCCAACGAAGTCTGTCTCATTTTGCTTTTCTCCTTGCAGATCTGCAGGAAGAATACCAAGAAATCCTGGATATGCTGAAAAACTTGTGACAGCCTGGCTGACCAAAAAGGCCGGCGCGAAGAGGCTTTCTTTACATTTTGAGCATTTCTTTTTTATCTTTTTGCTTTTATATTTTTTTTGCTTTTACTCATTCAGTTCATTGCTTTGCTTTGGTGGCCAGCTTGAAGTAGAAATTTTAAAGATGGCAGGGGTTAGACTGAGCAGCTTGACCACAGGCTCATGGGGACCCAGAATGGAGTGGGTCCCTTGGGGGTCCTGTCTCACACCCCTCCTATTTTTCCCCTTGCCAGCCTTTTCCAGCGAGCCCTGGAGGTGCAACCATGAGACCTCGGTTGCTTTCTTGAACGTGTTCAAGGAAACAGGACAACAGATGATTAGTTTGATTGCATTGGTACAAAAAATATATAGTTTATGTGTGTTTTTTATAATCTTTTCATAAAAGTAAATCCTTTTCTACTATGCATATCAGTTCTCAAGTGTAAGCCAGCAGGGTAAGACACCCATGTCTGAATTAAAGCCGGAAGCATCCCCAGAGAAATTGGGAGTGTGGCAGGTAAGCAGCAAAAGCCACAAAAGCACAACTCTGCTGGAAACGATTTACATGAAATCTAATAAAATACAAACCTTTTTGGGTTCGGTGTGGCCGATACTTTTTCCAAATGTAAAAGAAGGATCTGGGCTGCTCGGCTGGGTGCTTGACGTTGAGGAGAAACCTCAAAAACGCTCTCCCGAAACTGCCTTTCTCTGCTGCAGATGCAGTTTTGTCCCCACCTTGCATCCCTTGGGGAGCGATGGCAGTGGGCCCACACCAGTCCTGGTGGGGTGCTTGGTGGGGTGGCTGCAAAGGGATCACAAAGTGGGGACCCTGCAGCTCCGTGCCCCGAGGCAGGGCACAGTGGTTTTATAAGTTGCCCCCTTAATTAATTTTCAGAGAGCATTGCATTAATAATAGAAAGGAATTTATTGAGTAAGCAACAGCAAGCAAAACAGCGCTGGGCGGCCTGGGAGTCTCGGCTCCGCCAATGGTGCGCACCTCACCCCCGCCAGGGTCCCTTTTTATATCTTGGTAATTCCGGGATTACGCAGCACATCCTGGTATATTCTGCGACTGCGCGCACTGTTGCTAGGGGGTCGTCTCTGTCCCTCTGGTGGTCGTGAAGATGAAGGCCGTAGTCTTCCTCGGCGTTGTGGTTCAACTTCTTTTTTTATTTGGTCATGTTGGCCCAGCGTGAGACAGGAAGGCAGGATGTTGATACACTAGTTTAGCAACTTATCAGGAGATGGTTACATGAGCTTTGCAGCAGGGTCTTTAAACAAAAGAGGCAACTGAGATGCAGAAGGAGAGAAGGGGAGGGGGGTTCTCTTTTTTGTTACATTAAGCAAAAGAATTTTCATAGTGTCTAGCCAAGCATTATACAGCTCCTTACTTCAGCAGGGAGCTTTCACAACTCCCGCTCCTCAAGCAGGAACTCCTTGTTTTATACAAAAGACAATGAACAAACATTTATTGTGTATTACAATCCCTCCTTTTTCTTTTAGTTACTCATTTTGTTCATTGAAGCTCTGCAATGCCTGGCTACTAAGAACTAATGTTTCCTCGATTCCTTCGCTGGTACTTATTGGCTCGTATCTGGCATGTATGAGCATTAAATGTGCCGCTTCTAACATTCCCTTTACAATCGCAATCAATTTATTAAAAATACATGGTCCAAAGTTAGTGCTATTATTAATAACAACAAAGGTCCTGTTATTGTTGATAATAAAGTAGTAAGCTAAGGTGAATAATTAAACCAAGATTCATACCAGCTCCTGTCGGGCTTCATTCTCCTGTTTCCTTTTTTTTTTTTTTTTTTCAACCCTTCCCTGGGTCTTGCCATTGTATCTCTTACCATCTACAGTGTGATCAGCATACACTATAGCACTCCTCTTTCAGGGCTGCACACAGCCCGCCCTGTTGTAAAAAATACCAAATCTAATCCCCTAAGATTTTGTAACACTACCTCTGAAACGAGACCTGATAGATTTTCCAGGGCCGAGATGGATTGTTCAATTTGGGTCAGGTCCTCGTCCACAGCAATGCATAAGGAAGTAAATTCTTGATTTTGTTTAACCAATGAGGCTACCCTGGTCCCCACTCCAGCTCCTCCCAGGATTATTAGGGTGGCCAAAGTTAGAGCCGTGAACCGTTCCCGTCTTTCCAGATGATGACTTTCCACTGTGTGCTGGGTATACATACAATCCTCAGGGTGGTATAGAATCCTTGGTATAATTATCACCTGTATACAAAAATCACAAGACGCATTAAAGAGTTTTAGTGATAGACAAGGAGTTATGCCCACTCACACACAAACACACCTAGCGTTGTTGGCTGGGATTAACCACTCGGCTGATTGTTTTCCATTCTCCATGATATTACATAGGTGACACTTCCCACTAGGAACCATGCACACACACCTACCACCTCCAGTGACTTGTGTTAGTGTTACCCTTATGTCTTTTCCCCAACTGCATTGTAGAGGGTTGTTCTCATTTGTGCGGGAGGGCTCCCCAGGATTCCCGATAGCATCATAATATGAAGGCCTTATACTAAAGCATAATCAACAATGTTTTGTTACATTTGGGTTTGTTTTGTTTAATAATTGGTAGCTGGCATTCACGACCCCCCCATATGTTATTCTCAGCTATGTTATCATTCTCGGCTTTACCTGAGCTCGTAGGGCTGCCGAGGGTTGGCACTGTAGTATTTTCCACAGGCTGGATTCCCTGGACACTTTCTGACAATACCTCATTTGGTCCTACTGCCTGGGGCCTATCGGCATCCTCCTTTTTATTAGTACGAGTCCTCCCCTATCTGTTCTGTGTTTGTAAAATCTGACACCTCACATTTTTCCTAGTACCCAGCTAGTATCATCCAAGTTTGTTATATTTATATATAGAACCTTGCAAATTTCTTTATTTCCGTGGAAGGTTCCTGTATACCCTATACCATGCCCTCGCCACCTGTAACGGGGATCTGCTTGTTGGTTACAACCTTGTGGCCCATATCCCACTTGTAAAAATTTATCCCGACCAGCCCTGAGTGTCCAGTCCGTAGAAATGGTTTCACACCCCCAGTATGCACGATAATACACGTTCGGGCATTTACAGCACCCCTTTTCTGGGTTAGAACTTGGGCAGAAATAAAATCCTGATCGGTTAAAGCATGGCTGCACTGACACCAGGTCACATAATGTGATGCGGAAACTGGGAGCACCTGCTGTCGTTGTTTGCTGGATGATGAATTAATCCTCCCATCTGATCAAGCTCCACTTAAAAGGCTGATGGGGATGCGCAGACCCATAGCTGACCAAAGCGATGATACTGACTCCCATGTATCGTAGGAGGTGGTCGGAGCCCATCTAAATTGTCGGCCCCTCAGTCCCCCACCGTTTTCACTTCTCTGCCTCGCTTGTCAGTTCGGTTGCAGCGAACTACAAGGTATCGGTTCTTCTTGGCAGCAGCAGTGTTCTTCAGGGGAACCTACTAGGGAGCCTTTGAAACAGGGCCTCCTCCCCTTCCCACGATACACAGATAATATACAATACTTATCGAGTCCATCTTAGTGTCAGCTTCAAGTCGTCAGGGCCTGGAGCTGCCTCCCATTTACCTTCCCGGATTGGTCCTTTCACACAGCTGGCATGCGTCCATCCTTTCTCCGTAGTTCGAACAGCCGTTTCTGTGGTAAGCAAAACAACATAGGGGCCTTCCCCATCGTGGTGTTAAAGCAGTCTCTTTCCAAGTCTTAATTAGAATTGAGGGTGATCAAGTGGCAATTCCAAGTCATAGGGCATACCATATAGCATTTCAAAAGGAGAAATTCCTACATCAGTTCTGGGCTGTGTCCATATGTTTAACAGTGCAAGAGGTAAGCATTTTACCCAAGAAGCCTTAGTTTTCAGCACAAGTTTTGTTAGTTGTTTCTTAATTTCACCATTCATTCGCTCTTCCTTTCCAGAAGAGGAGGGGTGCCAGGGGCTGTGAAAATCCCACTCAATCTCTAAGGCCTGCTTTAATCCTTGCAGTAAAGCTTTACACCCATTCAGTCACGTGGTCAATTAGGACAAACAAGTAACTCAGTAAAGTCTACCTGTATACTTTGGAAAGGTCAAAGCCCTGGCTCCCGTCCCCCTCTAGATAGGTTACAGAAGACCTTTTTATTTACCATTTGACATATAGTACATCCTCTGCATGTGTGCTTCCCTAAAGTATATTCTCCTACACAGACATGCTTTCTTAGAACAACATCACACATTGCTTGCACCTCCCAATGACTCTTCTGATGTAAAACAGTTAATATTTGCCTTATTATCACTTTATTCAGCATTTCTCTCCCATCAGGGAGTATCGATTTTCCTTAAAATGATCCACATATTTGTAACATTAATACCTCCTTGGGAGGTTGTAATTGCTCCAAAATCTTTTTTAGAATTTACCCAAATAGATAGGTGGCCCTGTAAACTTCCTGAGGTAAAACTGTCCACCTATATTGTTGCTTCCGCCCCCATTTCAGGGTCTTTCCAGTCAGAGGTGAATATACATGTATGTTTGCTCTCAGGGCCAGAGAGCACTCCATTAATAACACTGTTATTCCAGTCTAACAATTTACTAGTTGAATGCCCAATTTAATCATCAAATCCCTTCCCAACAAGTTAGTCTCTGCCTTGGATACATACAATAATTGCCCAGTGATCATTTTATCCCCTAGTCTCAGCTTGGTATCCCCCAAAAGTGGCACTGTTATCCCAGTCCCTTCTACCTCCATCACATTTAGGGTTTCATTAGTTAATTTAATCCCTGATACTTTACAAGTCAGTAATCACTTAGCTGCCCCAGTATATTGGGTTTGATGGCAAGGTTCGAGGTGTGTGACGGGTGTGGGGGTGGGAAACTGCAGTGGCAGCCCCCGTGAAAAAAAAGAAACAAAACAAAACAGAAACCTCCCCGTGGTAGATAAGGGACAATTTCATCTGGCCCTAAAGAGGCCCACTGCTGCCCAAGCCATAGCAACACAGTCCATGCCTCTGTGAGAGCACATCCACAAAAACAAACAAACAAAGAAACAAACAAAACCCTGCTGCTCAACAGCAGTTGGGAGAGCGAGAAACCCCCCCGCAGACACCAAAGTCTGTGCAGAAGGAGGGGGAGGAGGCACTCCAGGCGCTGGAGCCAAAGCCCCCCTGCGGCCGCTGGAGAGGCCCCTGGTGGAGCAGGCTGTTCCCCCCTCCACGATGCTTGGGAAAATGAACAAACACCACAGCAAATATGCAAATATACCAAAACTTCTAGACTGTTACTTAGATAATGCCTACATCACCTTTCCCTGCTCATTCAACTTGGAATACCTTTAACACTTTCAACAAACCTTTTAACACTTCCTTTATGTTTCTCTAGCCTTTACTTTTCTAATGCCGACATCAAAGGCTCAGTCAGGGGCCAACTTAATTCCATACCTTTTCCCTCCAAGATGCTGAAACAACATCAATATACAACATTTCATCCTGTTTTCCTTCTTTCCACAAAAACAACAGTTAACTGTAATATGGTGTTATAATTAGTAGTTCCATTTAGGAGCCACTCCGCTCCATCCTCTAGTTTATAAAGTGGCCACCACTGATTACAATATTTGATAAGGGTTCTTTTACTCTCTGTACCCTCTCATCCCACTATATCCCTCCAATGTGTTAGTATTCATCCTAGGAGGCATTTCCTCGGGATTTCTTTGCTTTGAACTTTTCCTATTGTAATCTACAGTGGTTAATATTCCTCCGTTTTCCTAGAAGCTCTTTACTAGTCAATCCCAATCCCTCCAAAATCCACAATATATAGATACACAAGTAAAATCAGACCACTGTAAATTAACTGCTTGTAGACAATTACACTGGGAACATTTAAACCTGATGAGCCGATAATATGCCTGGGCAAATTTTGTTTCCCTTAAACATACACCTCAATGGCAGTTCTTATATTTACATATTTACATATTAACATAGGTATAAAAGAACACTTTAACAAAAATGCCCGGGCTTTTATATATACAATATACAATGTACAGTTATTATTCCAGTTAGAATTATTCCTCAGCAGCTGGAAACATTATGCCAGTTGCCATTAAAGCTCGCTTACCCTCCTCCTGTCTTTCTTAAAGTCTCGGACGTCCCCGGAGTTAATGGGGACAGCCACATATTCCTAGTCACTGGTCCCTGAGCGCTAGAGTCAGAGTCGCTATCAGAGTCTCCCTGGGGTTGCGGATTAGGAAGCCCGGGAGTCGGAGGGGCTGCAGATGGTGGTGGTGAAATATAGGGAGGCAGTGGGGCTGGGATCTCTAATTCTCGTTTTTTCTTGTGCCTCCCATCCCCTCCTTTTTCTTTTAGAGGATATAAATTGGCTCGAGTTTCCAAGCTGATCCACAAATGTGCATATTCACTTTCTTCCAAACCAAAAGGTTCCTTTGAGTTTACATAAATATTTAGGGCCTGGCAAACCCAATCTTCAAAGGACCCAAATATGGGCCAGTAAAGGTGGTCTCCTCGAATCTGTTTACCACCCCAAACTTCAACACAATAATGTATCATTTTTACTTTATTCTTTCCCCGCCTAAAAGGGGAATCCTCCCAATTTTTAATCATTAATCCCGGGGTAACCTAACATCAGACGTTACCCCGCCCATGGGACCAGAAGGCTTACTCTTCTTCTGTCCCATCTTCTGGAGCGCCTTCACACACACACACACAGATCACTTCCCCCTTTTCATGGCCCAGTCCTTCGCGGGATGTGGGAACTGCACTACCGAGGGGTCCGCACTCGCTTCGTCCGCAATTGGACGTCTCACAATGCTCCAGGATACCCAACCCCAACCGAACGGATCACTGGCCTATTCTTACTCACTCCTGAGTCTTTGTTCGGTCTTCAGTGCACAAAGATTACTAGGGGTTGCCGGCTTTATTTGCTTGCTGCCGAATTTAGGGTTCATCGGTGAAGGATTTGAATGAAAGTAATCCTAGCGAAGGCCGCTGAAATCAGCAGGGCGCCCCCTCTGAAGGTCTTTCAATCAGATTGCCTTCATCCGAGTCACGGCACCAAATTTGTTATAAGTTGCCCCCTTAATTAATTTTCAGAGAGCATTGCATTAATGATAGAAAGGAATTTATTGAGTAAGCAACAGCAAGAAAAACAGCGCTGGGCGGCCGGGGAGTCTCGGCTCCGCCAATGGTGCGCACCTCACCCCCGCCAGGGTCCCTTTTTATATCTTGGTAATTCTGGGATTACGCAGCACATCCTGGTATATTCTGCGACTGCGCGCGCTGTTGCTAGGGGGTCATCTCTGTCCCTCTGGGGGTCGTGAAGATGAAGGCCATAGTCTTCCTCGGCGTTGTGGTTCAACTTCTTTTTTTATTTGGTCATGTTGGCCCAGCGTGAGACAGGAAGGCAAGGATGTTGATACACTAGTTTAACAACTTATCAGGAGATGGTTACATGAACTTTGCAGCAGTGTTTTTTGAACAAAAGAGGCAACTGAGATGCAGAAGGAGAGAAGGGGGAGGGGTTCTTTTTTTTGTTACATTAAGCAAAGAATTTTCATAGTGTCTAGCTAAGCATTATACAGCTCCTTACTTCAGCAGGGAGTTTTCACCACTCCTGTTCCTCAAACAGAACTCCTTGTTTTTACAAAAGACAATGAACAAACATTTATTGTGTATTACACGTTCGGAGGCCACCTCCAGGCTGGAGCTGGTGTCCTGGGTGTCCTGCAGAAGGGCTGCCCCCCTGCTAACCCGGCCTCTCACCCCTTGCAGAGGTCCCGAAGCTGAGGGAGCACATCCGCAGGTTTTACACCGAGCAGAAGAGGAACAAGCTGCTGAACTACACGACAGAGGCTATGGTCATTTTCTCACTGATCTGGACTCTCCCGTCCAACAACATGCTCAGGTTTGTCCAGAGCAGCTTTTGGGAGCATCGCTGTTTATTCTTTCCCGACAGGCTCTTTCCCTTCGAGCAGGCAATTCACATCACACATTTCCAGCACGACACGTCCACAACCTGCGGGCAAAACATCTCGCAGGGGGCTGACAAATGCGTCGAGGCACCGCAGCCCAAAATATCCACAGCCTGAGCTCATCTCCTGCAGCCTCCCCAGCCAGGAGAGCCCCGGGCTGTCCTTCTGTCCCCCGGGCAGAGGGGACAGTTCTGGTGCAGGTCTGCCTGAGCAGTGACCCTACACTGGGGAAAGCAGCCAGGGAACTGGGCAGCACTGGTGGCAGTGGTTGGGGCAGGTGGGGAAGCTGGTGGGATTATTTATGGCCCTATTTATGTTTGCTTCCAGCACAATGTTTTCAGTGATTATTTTTTCCCCTCTCTTGTCCATTGATTTCAGTCTCAGCTTGCGAAAAAAAATTACTTGAAGGATTTCATTACACAGAAGATCGCTGACTTGGAGAATGACATCCAGAAATGCTTTGCACCAATCGAACAGCCACTCAGGGAAGGCGTAGACGAAGCAAAGAAGTCATACAATAAAACTATCTCCAGTCTCCTCAAGGTGGGTGTCAAGCGGGGTTTTTGCAATCCCATAACTAATTGGTTTGGGAAAAAGCCCCAGAGGTCTGCCTGTGCATGAGGGCTGGTGGCTGCTTGAACCACCAAGGACAATTTAAAGGACAAAGAGACCTGCTGGGCTGGGTGGCATCAGTGCAATGGAAGGGACTGTGCTAGCCCTGGGGGCTAGCAGTGTCCTGGGGGCTGCAGATGTGCGGGGCACGGTTTGCTTTTTCCTTTCTGTTGCCTGGAGCCTGGCTGCAAACAGCAGCACTTGGAAGCACTTTGGATGCTGGTCCTTGGGGGTGCAAGGAACAGGGACATGAGCACAAGCCCTGCCGCAGCATTGCTCGGGGGTGGCGTAGCCAAAAGTTGGCCTCCAGCAAGGGGAAGCCCAAGTCGGCAGATTGGCAGCTCGGGCAGCGACCTGGAAGTCGTGGAAATGCCCTACCTGGTGAAACGAGCTAAAACATTGCAAAAATCTCTGGGTGGGGACTTGGCCAGCTGCCTCCCAGCCAAGCAAAACCACCCAAAAAAAATAAACAACCTCCTCTGCCCCAGGGTGGTAGGAAGGAGCTGCCTGGAAAGGAGGCCTCAGCAGCGGCTGCTGGGCCGGCTCGAGGTTCCTTTGGTCCAACGCAGCCCCAGCCTCCAAAAATTTAGCTGGAAACCCCATCCTTCCCTCCCTGCAAGTTTGCTCCTGAGCTGTTTTCGTGGCCTCACGGCCTGCGCCTCCCGTCCCGCAGCGCAGCCACGGGCACCAGGGCTACCACCGCACCCTGAAGGCCGTGTGCCTGAAGAAGGGGGCCTACGCCTCCCGCACCTTCCTCAGGATCGACATCAACGACGCCCTGGCGCAGCCCATCTACAGGAAAATCGACCCCAGCTTCGGGGAGGTGTTCAGGTGAGGGGCCAGGCAGGGCCCTGGGGGTGCAGCAGGGGGGCCGAGCAGCTCCTTGCTGCTGGGGATTTGTCTCTCTGCTTCCCACCCGCCTCCTCTTTTGGGACCTTTCAACCTCCCCAAGCAGCCTGCTCCCAAAGCCTTGCACTGCGAAACCTCTCCAAATGTCCAACCCCAACGCTCTGCGACATAGGTTGAACCTCCCTTTTTTTGTGTATTATTTTGTTTATGGGAAGCAGTTTAATAGGAAAACAGGGCAGGCTGTGGTGTCAGGACAAGTGCACCGAGCTGCTCCTCGCTTAGCCTTGATCAGCATCATTTTTTTCCCCCTTTCTCCCTATTTTTGCCTTGCTTGTTCCTCTCCATCTCTCTTGATCCCTTTCTCTGCCCCAGTCACCTCCCAAACAAATCACTCGCCCCAAACACATTTTTCCCCAGAGATCCCAGTTCTGCTACATGCATATCCAAACTCGATATTTCTGCTATCTTCTCCTGTGATTCCTTGTCCTTGTCGCAGATACGGGTACCTGGCCAGAGCCACCTTGCAGGACTTGCTCTGTGATGGGTCCCTCAGGCTCCCTTGTGGTCCCCAGAGGAGTTTGTCCACCCCCCTCAGCCACACGTGTAGCTTCATCTGCTCTCAGACCCTCAGCAGCTTCTCCCCCCTCTGTGTATTACGTTGAGCAGTTCCTCCTGCCGTGCCCACATATCCAAACAGGGTCAGAAAGCAAAGCCATCAGAAGGTGAAAAAGCAGCAAAGAGAGCTGAAAGAAAGACAAGTTTTTACTCGGTTGTTTCCTTAATGTGACAACCCTGTGCCTCCTGTAGCTGCTGATCGTGGAGCAGGGATGTGCCATGGCACCCCGCAACCTCGGCCCGTCTCATGCTGCTGCTGACTTTGGATACCCTGAAGTGGGACCTGAACATCACCCCGAGCACTGTGTCCTGGAGGAGAGCAGCTCAGGCTGCTCCTGCAGGACCAGGAGGGCTTCCTCCAGCCAAGGTGGCATTTACATCATCGGGTTTATGAAGGGAAAACCCATTGCGTGCAGCATTTGTTCTGTTCCAAAATAAAAATAGCCACATCCTCAGTCTGGACTAGCTAAAGGCGAAGGAAGCATGGAAACCGTGCTGCTTTGCTTGCTTTGCCCTTCCCTGTGGGTCTGTGGCTTGGGATGGACGTCCTGCCCTGCTGGGTGGGGAGGATCCGTCTTTGGCTTTGTCCTTCCCGATGAATTTCCTGCCCTGCAGGATCCAGATGAGCACCCGTTCCACACTGAAAATCTGCCTGGACGCCTTCAAAAACGCCGTGCAGCAGAAACTGCAGGAAGTTGGGATGCAACTGGTGGCTGACAGCAACCAGCTCCATTTCCTCAAGCAGGAGGTACGCTCACCTCGAAGGGGGCTGTGCGAGCAGGAACGAGCAATGGGAGAAGGAAAGGGTAAAAGCACGGCCTCCGTGGGGCCTGGGGAGGAGGTTAGCGACACCCTCATATTTAGGCCATCATTCTGAGATTTTTATTCTGAAGTTGTTAGCTGAGTTTGTTTGTAGGACTGAAGCACCGGCGGGCAAACATTTGAACTTACTCCTGCAGACAGACTTCATCGTCGCTGAGGCTGAAAAATTCATCCTGCAGAGGAAAGCAGAAATCTACCAGTCCCTTGCAGCGTCCATTCAAAACGACCTGCTGCTCTGCTATGAAGGTAAGACCAGACACCTCGTTTTTTTCCTCTTTGTCCCTGGAGGTTTTGATTTTCGTAGAATAACCCCAGTGAGGGCTCAGCAGAAGGGCCCAGTCTTACCACCTACCTGTAGAAAGGCTGCAAAGAAATCTATGGGGCAAAAGGATTATCTGTTATTTGGTCATCGACTCATGGAGATTTCTGAAATCCAAAGTAGATCATGCTCAAATAGAGAAAATTCCTTCCCTGATTTACTCTATTTTCTATTTTTTGTAAATCATGGATATTTTCTAGCAGTAAATCATTCTTATTAGACTGACTGCCTCTGAAGGAAGGAGAGGAAGGATGCTAAAGCAACAAGCTGCTGAATCTGATTTTGGTTTTTCCTTCCTTTCCTATCAGTAGGTGGCACAGTCAGAAAGCGAAACAGTTCAAAACCCCAAATCCAGAAGTTGCTCGCGTTGGCTTTGGGAAGACACCTTAATTCCTGGGGTAGTTAGTTGTGGAAATGCACTGCTGGGCCAAAGCAGGGAGGTGTCCTGGGGACGGGCCACCCCAACAGAGCTCTCCTCACAGCCAGCTGCTCTTTCTCTGACCTCTGGAAACATTCGTGGGGCACGGGGAAAAAAATACGGAGAGGAAAAATAACGAGCTCCTGTTGGGGAACATCCCTGTTTAATAGTGCCTGCGAAACATGCAGGAAAATGGGCTTGGGCCAGGAGTCAAAAAAGGGACAAAGTCCTGCCCCTTGTCCCCACCTGGGTCCTCGCTCTGGATCCCCGTGTGACAGTCCCCTCTTTGCCACAGAGGCAGCCACGGTAAGAGGAGCACAAGCCTTCCAGCGGATGAAAACCATCCTTAGCACTGGGGTGACGAGAGAGGTGGAGAGAGGAATGTTTGAAAGAGCTGAGGAGAGCATGAAAGGGCACCTCCAGGACATGCAGGTACGTTGGGCGCCTTGGGGACCTCCCTCCAGCCATGGTCAGTGCTTGTGGGTAGGGGACAATGGTCCAAAAAGGATCTTGTGAACGCGTGTGATAACGGGAGGGAATTTCCTTGGGAGATGTTGGCTTCAGCAGGTTCTCCGGCATGGTTTTTTTGGCAGCAGAGCCGCCTCCAGAAGCACAGAGGTGTTTAACACCATTTATCCATTGCACATCACCACTAGGGACCAAGTTGAGCTCGAGGCACCAATGTGTAGACGCTCCTGTACTGGAGGGGCTGCCTGCAGACTTGTAACTGGTCTAGCAGTTACCTGTAACTGGTAACCACCTCACTCCTCTCCCCACATGAACCACAGTTTGGGTGAAGGGGCTTCGAGGAGCTCAAAGCTGCCGCCTCCACCCCCCGGAGCCCATCAGCCCCAGTGGGCTCTCGTGGCTCATTTTACCAGAGAGGCTGTGCTCTGAAAAGCTGTATGGAAATCCTTAATCCTTATCAAAATATCGAGCTGGGCTCTCCTTCTTGTGCACCAGCACCCGCAGCAACGAATTGGCTGGATGGAGGTGGGGGTGGCTGTCCCTGAGCTTTCCCCGTCCCAGGGTCCCCACGGGCACTGGGAGGGACTGGGGGGCTTCAGCCCTGTCCCCTGCTCATGTGCTTGGCTGCCTGGCGCTTGCAGAAGCAGATCCCCAGGAAGCTGGAGGAGGACTTTTCCAGCGCTCTCGGCTTGGTCTTTTGCCCGTGGGACCAGCTGGACGGCAAGCTGCCAGGTATGGCCGCGAGCACGGCTTTGGGGCTGTTCGTGCAGGTCCTGCACTCCTTCCTCCCCGTTTTGGGGGCACGAGAGGGTCCAGATGCCCAGGCCGCTCTAACAGGCTCCTCTGTTTTGCAGACTTGCAGAGAGAATTTTTCACCATCATCAACATTCACAAGGCCCTGCAATCAGCCAAAGTCGCTTAGAGAGCCGCGGGAATTGTCTCCGACGATGTGGTTTTATTATTCACGTTGGTGCCTTGTTCTTGTAATAAATGGCTCAGTCCCAAATAGGGTTTCAATCAAAGTTTACAATTTATTAAGGAAATAGAGGTAAGCAAACAACACTGGGTGTGCCGGGAGTCTCCGCTCCACCAAGACGCACACCAGTTACATCAAGCAGCTGGTTTTATGCTCCTAGGCTGATACATATTCATTACTACTTCTAAAAAAACAGGGTTATTATAATTAGTTTCCAAATCCAAACCCTCCTACTAGAGCACGCATATCAGTCTCCAGTGGTCCCTCTGGGGGTCTCTGGGGGTCTCTCATGCTGAAGGCTCATAGTCTTCCTCCCTCTTGTCCTTCTCCTTTGTCCAACTTGGCTGGATGTCAGAGACTTGTGCAGCGTCCCCTGCAACCTTTGTCTTTTAGTCGTCCTTCAGCTTTCCCCTTCTCCTTAATCTCCTGGGCAGATATCAGAGACTTGCACAGTGTCCCCTGCAACAGTCCCAATAGTTAGCAGTTATTCTGAACCCCCTTTGTTCTTATCCCCTATTGACACGAATTGCTGGACCATTCCTTTGCAAGCTACAAGAACTCTATACATTAACCACTCTGTTCTTCTTAGACCTGTGGTTATACAAGGGTATGGAAGACAGAAATCACATTTCATCATACCCCAGCATTGTTCCATACGGACACGAATCAGATGAACACATTTCACATTCTCTTTACTCCGTGGCTTCATGGGGAATCTCCTCTGGTGCTTTTTTTTCCTCTTATAAAAGCATTTCTGAGATATTTTGTATGCGTTTGATGGTGCTATTTAAGTAAGAGACCCGGGCAGTGCCCCTGCCCTGCATGCTGTGCCATGTTCCGCACCCGAGGGGGCTCCAGCTCTGACTCCTCGTGGTGCTGGCAGCCCGGACCATGGAAGTGATGCTCTCCTGGGAGAAGCAGGACCACGGTGCCTGTGTCTGTGCTGAGGTTCTTGAGGTTTCACTGGCTGCTGTGCCTCTGGGCCCCTTCGTGCACGTGGAGATACGTGTGTGTGTTTCACTCCGCCACCCGGTGTGCCTACACCCCAAACGAAGCCCGATTGTACCAACGAGGCTTATATCTCTTCTGATATTTTGCTAATACCATAAAATTGTTCAGAACAGACTTGTGCATACTTAGTGTGCTCCTACCAAAGCCATGCCTGGGCTAGAAAAGCCATGCCACAGGTTGCCCAGAGAAGGTGTGGGTGCCCCATCCCTGGAGGTGTTCAAGGCCAGGCTGGATGGGGCTTTGGGCAACCAATCTGGTGGGTGGTGTCCCTGCCCTTAGATGATCGTCGAGGTCCTTTCCATCCCAAGCCATTCGTGAGAAGCAGCAGGGAGAGCTGGGCTCCTTCAGCTGGAGGCTCTGCCACCACTTCAGGGGCTCAGCGGGAGGACAGAGCCCTATCTCCTCCGAGATCTCCAAGGAAGGACCAGGGCTGGTTCCAAACTCCAACCAGAAATAAAAGAAACCCTTCCCATGAGAGTCATAGAATCATCAGATTGTAGAATAGCTTGGGTTGGCAGGGACCTTGAAGCCCCTCCAGTGCCACCCGTGCCATGGCAGGGACCCGTGCCCCCAGCCCAGGCTGCCCCCAGCCCCATCCAGCCTGGCCTTGGGCACCCCAGGGATGGGGCACCCCCAGCTCCTGGGGCAGCCTGAAACTGGAAGGATTTCCTCCTAATGCCTCACCTGAACCTTCCCTCTCTGAGCTTAAAGCCGTCACTCCTCGTCATATCAGACAATTTCCTTCCTCAGCCCCTGTTAACCATGACACATGCTACACACACACAGACAAAAAAAGCAAAAGACAGATGAAGGCGAGAAGAAAAATTCCCTGAGTCACAGCAGTCGGTGAGACATCAAACCCCAGGCACTGTTTGCAGGAAAGCTGCGCCTTGCGGTGGGGTCATGTGTGAACCAGGGCACCCAGAAAGGGAAGGTGCAGAAACTGCCGAGCTCTGCAGGAGGAACAAAGCCAGGATGGGCAGAAAAGGGTAGAAAAAATGTAAAAATGGGGCTGGTTAGCATGTGGTGTGGGGGCAGGACGAAGGGTGACGGCCACAAAATGGAGCCCAGGCAGTTCCGCACCAACAGAAAGATTTTGTTCACGGTGTTAGCAAAGCTTTTGGGGAGCATTTAGTAGTGAGGACAGCGTTTTTATGGCGCCGGAGCCTAGGAAAAGCTCACAGGAGATGGAGAGATCTGGATACAAAAGCAAAGACAGGAAAAATCTGTGCAAAAGCCTTTGTGGAAAGCCCTCGCCGGGAGCTTTCTGCTTCTAGCTTTAAGGCCTGGAGGCGGCAGGATGAGGCCACGGGCACTGCTGCACTGTGACACCGGGCTCTGTCATCTGCCAGCCGAGGAGCCCTGGGGCTGCTTGCAGGCTGGGACGGGCCGGGTGAGCCACCCGACTCCAGGAAAAGGAGCAAAAAAATGCTTCAGGGTACAAGGGTGTGAGCAGGGGGACGGTCACGGAGACGTGACCCATGCAGAGAGGAGCCGGGGGCATGAGGAAGCTGGCGGGGGGCCAAAGAGGAAGAGCATGGTAGGGGCAGGACATGTGCAGCAGCTTTCATTTCACCATTTATACGCAGCAGCAGGAGGAAGCCAAAGCATCAAGCTCTGTCTTGTGATTTATTTTTTTTTATTTTTATTTTTTTTCTGGGAGAAACGTTAGCTTTCCAATAGCTCTGTAGACGAGCCCGTGGCTGCTTCCTCCCTGCCCAAACACAGCCAGATTTCGGCAGTTTTCCCGGAGCACAGGTGAGAAAAGCTGCCTGCAGTGGATGCTGGCCGTGTCCGCCCCTGGGTGCTGGCCGTGCACGGTGCCAGCTGGAGTTGGTCTCAATTAGTCTGATTGGGGTCGCAATAGTCACGGAGGCAAACGCTGGGGGCGAAGCAGGGGCTGCGGGTTGGTGGGGCACTGGCGGTGAGGGTAGGATGTGATAAATGACCTTGCTGGGACAGCTGGCTGCCTGCTGCGGGTCGCACATCGGCGGGTTGATGATTAACCTGCCCCAACGCCGCAGACGAGCACGTGGGGTTTCTTCTTCGAAACCCAGGGCGACCTCTGCACAAGCAAATTGATAAGTGCCCCGGCTGGGCACTGCTTTGATTGCTCGCAGCAGGATGCTGTGCCCAGGAACGGCACGGGGCAGGAGGGTTTGGAGCAGGTCTGGCCAGACAGCAGCCCCGGGCAGCTTTAATCCAGCCCGTTTTTAATTTTAATTTCTGCGGTCCGATGGCAAGGAGGCACCTGGGGAGCGTCTTTCGGGGTGGTGGCAGTGCTGCAAAGCCCTCGTGCAGGGTGTGAGCAGGTGCTGGGCCAGCCCCGAGCTGTTTTGGCAGGGCAGTGCGCATCAAGAAGCGGCACATGCCAGCACCAGCCACTACCCTGGGTCGTGCAGGGGCGTGGGTGGCACGAAGCAGGCTGCAAACTTCAAAACTGTTTCCTTTTTACTTCCCTAAGTAGTCCTTGGAGTACAGAAGTGGTCGTAGCCAGGTCAGCTTGCTCGTGGAAAGCAGGAGCGACGGGGCACTGAGGCAGAGTTTGGCCGAGATTGACATGGCAACGCGTCGTGGTGAGCCGCTGTCCCTGCCTTCCCCTCCGCTCCTGCAGGCTTCTGCTGCCCTTCCCTCCCCAGTCCCAGCAGCTCGCACCGACCCGGCTTGCTTTCACTTGCTGAGGGTAAAGATTTGCGTCTTTAGCTGGATGCCAGGGCCCAGGAAGCCGCAGTTTCTCTTTGAAGCGCGTTCCCTGCTCATCACAGGGGAGCAGGGCGGTGCAAAGGCGTCTCCACCCAAACGTAGTTCATTTTGGGGAGCGGTGTGGCAATGCTTCTTGCAAAACCTGAAGCTTGATACTAGAAAAAAAAACAGAAAAAAAAAAAAAGAAAAAAAAACAGCAGGAGTCAGAAACAAAAATGCCCTCAAGGCTCCCGACAGCATTCCTGCACGAAAACCTCAAGCTGTTTTCACTGATTTTTACAAACGTAGGGCCAGTTCTGCAGGTTTTCTGCATAGCGCAAGGTGTAAAGCCTCCTAGGTGCCTGTTGCTGCTGGGGGCAGAGATTCACATCCCTGCTGGGGCTGTGCGGAGAAAGCCGGTTAGGAAAAGATGCCCGAGGGGAAGGATTTGGGTTCCCACGCGCAGACCCACGTGTGAAGATCTCCTCTGGCCAGCAGCATTGATGACCCCGGGACACAGAGTTTTGGCAGCTGCTCGCCCTGGCAGGGATGTCTGAAGCAGGGGAGGTGGTCACCGCCCAGATTTTAGGGTTTGGGTTTGTTCGGGTAATGATCGGGTGGCCAAACCTGCAGCTGGGTGATCCGACCTTCACCCTCATGCGCCACAGCACCCCGAATTCAGGCTGCAAGGGCTGATTCCTCTCGGTGTCAGGAATAGGTGAGGCTGTTTGCTCTGAGGCTTTGACACCTGGGGAGGCTGCGGTGCTAATAATACTGATGTCCTTTCCCTGTGAAAAGGTGCAGAGAACGATGCAGCTGAGGTCCCCCAGAGGCGACCGCGACTGCCGGATGCTTTCCAGCAGGAGGAAAGGGAGACGCTCAGGAAATGTGAGTAGGGGAAGCCACCTGCCTGGTGGCACCAGAGCCATGCCTAAAACGCAGCGAGGTCTGGAGAGGGACCTGTGGTGGAAGGAGAGGCACGAGCAGGCTGCAGCTGCTCTGAGCATTGCCACGGAGGACCCACTCCCCAGACTCCCCAGGAGCAACCTCGGTGCTGCCCGAGGAGCCAGAGCACCCCAAAATGCTCCCCTCTGCCAGCAGCAACTCCTTCTCGTTGCTTGGCACTGGGCACCTTCCCCATTGAACTGCGTTTGGTAGAAATAACGGGCGTTTTGTAAATCATCCCAGCTCCCAGGGGTGCCAGCCTCCGCCTGAGGCTCCCCGTGGGCTGCTGGGGCTGCTTCCTTTGGAGACCTCCTCCTACAGCCTGACCGTGCGCCGCCTCTCCCTTCCAGACGAGAAGATGGAGGAGAGGGTCAGAAAAATCCTGACCGCCTCGTGCGAGAAGATATCCCACCTCTTTCATCTGAAGGACATGCCCGAGCACCTGGCTTATCTCCGGTGAGTGTGCGGCCAGAGAGACCCCCGCCAGCCTGGCTTTCCCCTGGGCAACGTGCCCCCGTCCGTCCCCCCAGGCTCCGCCATGCTCCGGGGCTTTGGTGGGCACCAGAAAATTCAAACGGGGAATTGCCACCAAAGCTAGAGGGTGGAAGCAGGTTTTGCTGTGACAGCTTCCTGCTGTAAGGAGGATTCATCTTTTTTTTTTTTTTTTTTTTTTGCTGGCAGCCCATGGAGGGGTCAGGGAGGCGTTAGGGCTGAGCTCCAGAGCTGCTCCCACTTCGGCATGGGCTCGCCAGGGCTTTGGGCAGGCAAATGAGGGATGGTGGAGAGAGAGCACGGTCTGTGCTTTGGGAACGAGCCCTTTGGGTGGAGATATTGCACCTGGCAAGGCAAAACTCCCCTGGAATTTGAACCCACTGCGGTGGAATCCGCCTTGTTCCTACCTCTGTTCTCCCAGGGACCGCATCACGACCCTCAGCTCCAAGCTTAACTTTGAGCCCATCTACATCGGGCTCTTCGGGAGCAGCGGCGCGGGGAAGAGCACCCTGCTCAACACCATCCTCCACAAGCGCTTCTTCCTCCCGGTGTCAGGGACACGCGCCTGCACCTCCTGCCAGGTTCAGATCAGCACCTGCGGCAGCAGAGAGTACAGAGCCAAGATTTTTCTCCTCTCCAACGAGGTACGGCTGGGGCCCTGCTGTGGAAGGGAGCCAAGGAGCAGCTCCTGCCCCTTCTCGGGGCAGCCTGTGGATCGGGTGGGTCTGCAGGAGGCTCCTGAAGCCCATTTTATGGGCCGTGTGAGAAACCCAAGGGAAGACCAGGGAAAACAGCAGCTTTCTCCTCTCTGCTCCTTCCCGGAGTGAAGGTCTCTGGCCACTCTTGTGGTTGGGAGCCCTCGTGCTGCTGCTTCCCACTGCTCACCACAGCTGCAGCTGCTCCTGCCCCAGCGAGCTGCTGAGCAACGTGCTCCTCTCTCCACCGTGGCAGGAGTGGATGGACGAGGTGAGGAGCCTTCTGGCGTTCCTGGAGACGGACAGGGAGGCTGATGAGAATGACAGCGACAAAGATCACGCCGTTCGAGCGCTGCAGGCTGTCTACGGGGAAGGAGCGGAGAACAGGACTTACGATGAGCTGGTGAAAGCCAAGCCTGCCATCACTATTCCCCACTCCAGAGTTATTGATCTGAAAACGGCAGAGGTGAGAACGTGGCAGCTCTCCAGGGCTGCCCATCCCTCTTCCCGCTGCAGCTGCAGCCACGGCGCTGCACAAACCTCCTGGGAAGCACCAGAGCTTTGTCCCGGTGCTGGGGCTGTTGCTTGCAGAGGAAAGTGGTTGCTTGCACACATCTGCTCGCAGCTTCTCTGCCAGGCATCGCTTGCGGCTGTGCCATCTGCTGGGCATCGTGCTCGGCGTGTTTATTTGCCACGGTGCTTCTCCATGCACACGCGACACTTCATTGCCGGTGTGCCCCTTGCGCAGCTTCTTGCGCTGTTTTGGTTGGCGGTTTGCTCTTTTCAGGCTGCTTGGAGGCTTTATTTCTGTAGAGAGTCATGGACTCACCCAGGTCGGAAGAGACCTTCAAGGTCACCAAGTCCAACCTGAGCTACTGAGTGCCATCAGCGAGCCCTGTCCCTTAGTGCCACGTCCGTGCACCTCTTAAAGACCTCCAGGGACACGGACTCCACCACACTCTCTGCGAAGAAATTCTGCCTCGTATCCTAATCTGAACCTCCCCCGGCAGAACTGGAGACCGTGAATTGGAGGGTGAGCGTTAATTTGCTGATGGTGTTCCAGGCAGAAGTTCTCTCCCGGGAACTGGACCCGTACATCCGCAACCTGGAGGGCAACGAGGGGCCTGGGGAGGGGGGTGCCGCCCTCCACAAGGAGCAGACGCGGCTCTGGCCCCTCATCAAGTACGTGCAAGTGACTCTTCCCGCGTCCGATTTCATGCCTGATTGTGTCATCTTTGTGGACATCCCGGGGACGGACGATTCCAACAAGAAGAGGGATGAAATGTGGAAAGAGGTGACTGGCAGGTGGGACCAGTGCAGGGGGGGTGGAGAGGCTGCAAAAAGAGCAGGGGCTGGTGGCAAGGGAAAGAAGCCACAACCGAGCCCGTAGGGGCTGCCACCACCATCTGTGTGCCAGTGCATGGGCACTGATGCAGCGCCTTCAGGCCTCAGCTCCTGGTTCGGTGTCCTCGGTGCTCCTATGTCCCACCTGACTCTTCTCCTCTCCTCTCTTTCCCCCAGAGCATCCTGCAGTGCACATCCATTTGGGTCATCGCTGATGTTGAACACGTTTATGGGGCCAGAGCACACGAAAACATGCTGACAGAGGCGATTACAGCTTGCATGATTGGCAAGTGCAGCGATATCAACTTTGTGGTCACCAAGATGGATAAGATCAGCCGGGAGGAGTACATGCGGTAAAGAACAGCTCCGTCCTTTCGTCAGGGTTGCAGGGAACCCTTTGTGCCTCCGTCAGAGCAGGCTGGATGCCGTTCACCCATGGCACTGCCAGGTCTCACTCATAGCGTGCCCTGCCCACCCTGCATATGGAAAATGGCATTCCACGTAACAAATCATTCCCACTGATTATTTTGTTGTTTCTCCTATGCGTTCAAGAGCCTTAGCACCCAGCCCTCTTTACAGCATAACCCCATCACCACGCCTGCCTTTCCCAGGCTGACTTTGCCCCTTTGCTCTTCTGCCTCAGCTCCACGCTCGGCGCTGCCCCATCCCCTGTGCCTTTATTGCTGTCTTTCTGATTGAGGCAGGTCATCTGCTTCCTTTGGCATTTGTGCTGATGTCCCCCTGCCCAAAGGACTTGGGGGATTTGCCCCAAGGAGGAACAAGCTTTAGGGTTCAGCTTTGCCATATCTACTTAAAGTCTTTTTTTTTTTCTTCTTTCATTTCCCAGTGACCATCCCAATGCACCGGTAAGTACCTGCTGGCTGCTTTCAGTGGCCAGAAACCAAATTCCTTTTCTGATTGCATATTCTGACTGGTGGGGCCAGTGCATAGACTCCACCAGCATCCTGCAGGCTTGCTAGCAGCTTTGCCTCCGTGCAGGTGAAGCTTGGTGGTTTTGGGAATATTCTCATAACACTCTCTATCATTTGCCATCCAGAAGGATCTAAGCACGCACGATGCCATTTTGGAGACAAAAAAAGACCTGAAAACAAGAAAGGCCAGAGCAATAAGGCTCAGGATGCAGGTATGGTATACCTTGTTATTTTGGTGACAAATGCATGTTACAGTGCTAATGCTTATGCACGTGCCTTTTCCACAAAATATATTTGCTTCCTTTTCTTTCCATTTGCCATGAAAAAAAAATAAATGGCAACATCTAACTTTCCCACCTAGGTAACATCTTGTGACGAGGTTTATCAAATTAGTGGGCACCTGAAAGAGAGGTGCTGGCCTGTGGCAGCTGCACCAGTGATCTCCTACATGTTGTTATAAGCCCTTCTGTCACTGACTAGCTTTAAATGCAGGTGTGGGCTGCGTGTCACCTCCTCCCTGCCCAATCTGTCCGTGGCTGTGGCTGG